TTCTTATATGTCATAATATAAATAAAAATAAATCAAATGAAGAAAGAATATTAAAAATAATAATTAATAAATAATATTAAAAATTAATAATAATAATAATCACTAAAATTAAATACTAATAATCAAACTAAAAATAAAATGAAAGTATAAATTTATTTAGTGATTAAAATGAAAATCTCGACTCCTATTAGTAAACTAAAAATTCGTGTGACTTTTCTCTACATTTGAAAATCCATATATACTCTCGTCCGTTTCACTTTTATCTGCAATCGATGGTGCAATGCATTCAAACTAGATTCCCACTCACTCAGTTGTGGCTAATAACGTTAGTTGGCACAGTTATGACTGATTTTAATCGACGAACAGATTTTTTATTTGCTGGGTAAAGCATGTCACTTAATTTCTTGAATAAATGAAGTTAGAATGTGCGCTACACACTGCGCTAGAAATGTTGAATTTTAAACAAGATTAGCAACTACATTGCGAAGGGATTATTGTCATTCTTGAAATTATGCATTTGCAGTAAATCAATTAATGAATTAGCGCTGCTAAATTTAATGTACATAAATAATAATTGATAGTAAGGTTCTTAATCCTTTATGCTGCGTAAATCCTCTTCAATGCTTTAAACAAAAGTCAAATAATTTAATATATGTAATGGCTATGCTAAATGAACCCAATTAAGTAAACAATTTTAGTAATTGATTTGCTTTGTGTAAATCATATTTAATGCTCTAAACAAAAGGCAGGAAATTCATGTTTTCTCAAAAGAATTATTTTCACTCTTGAATTTATGCATTCGCAAGAATCGAATTTAGGAATTAAATCTGCTAAATTCAATTTGCCTAGGAAACAATCAATATTGATAGTAATACATTTAATCCTAAATCGACTTTAATTCCTTAAACAAAAGGCAAACAATTCATAATTGCAAACTAGAGACAAGGAATGAGCTTGCCGGTAAACTGGTGAATTTCCTTAATATGTAGTTAAGTACACGGCTTTTGTGGATCATCTTCAGAGTATTTGAACTTCAGCTATTCATGCTAGTTAAGCATCGTAATTACGTTAATAGCACCTGTTGCACTTAGTGCTCTCTATGTTGTCGCAACGTAGCAACCATAGTCTGCAATTAAAAGCCATTTACTTAACGCACCCCTCGAATGGTTTAGCCCGACTTGAGGGCGAGAGGGGCGCAGTCAGCCAGCTGCAACCGCAGCTGCTGCCAACTATTATGAGCCGGGCCATAAAGCATCTCGTACTTTTTTCTGTTTGTTTGCTGACGCTTAGGGATTTGCTGGATGTGCATGCGGATGCTGATGGGGAGGGGGATGGTGGATGGTGGATGGCGATGAGGATGGGGATAATGGTGCCAACAAAACCAGACAGCAAGAAATGCATGCAAACGGTAACTGGGCTGTTGCCGTTGATCCTGATGGCGATGATACGGCCTAGAAAGAGGTCGACTTCATACACTCAATGAAGTAATGACGGCGTGTACCATTAGGCTAGTCAAATACAGATTAGTGCAGCTAAACCTGGCTGGGAAATTGAAAAGCCTGTCGAAAGTTTTCCCATCTGCAGCCCATCATCTTAATTGAGTGCAATGTGCAAGTCATATTGAAAAGTATGGCCTCGATATGTAGTAGGCTTGCCAGCCTCTGTTCCGTTCTTTTCGCTTCTGCCTGGGTGCCTATGGCCTATATAGTCTCCTTGCCTTGATAACTGACAAATCATTTCATTTTTCATAGCAAAAACAACGACGACAACACGCTTTTAAAATATTTTCTCGTTCAATGACATTGAAAAGAATTTTTATATGCATGTGTGAGAGTGTGTGTGTGTGCGAGTGTGTCTGTGTGTGTGTGTCGTTTCTTTTCATCAACAAAGTTGACGTCGTCACTGACGTTTCGCCTGGCCGAATTTTGGCAACGCCCAACTGTAGCCTCTTCGATTTCTTGTCTCTCGAGCGCCTCCCCCCATTTCATCGAAATTTATATGCTTTATAAATTCATGGGCTTGTCGGCCTTGTTCCTGGTCTCGGTCTCACTCTTTCTCTCTCTGTCTGCTATTTTAAGCTACATGCATTGTCTTTTCCTTGTGCTCTATAAAAATGATAAAGTATAAAATATTTTCAGCACGGACCAGAACTCGTGTCGCATGTATGTGTGTGTGTGTGTGTGTGTGTGTGTGTGTGTGTTTTCGTTCCTCTGGTTGCCTCTTGGCCATTGCATAATTGCACAAATTGATTACATTTTGGCGGGCTATTCGCTCTGCACGGGTGCCGACTTAGCATTTCCTTTTATTTCCGTGCAACCAAATGAGTTTCCAAATGCCCAACTGTTTCACGACACTCCACTCTCACTCAGCAGCGGAAAGGTCAATGAAACGCCTGCTGCTGCTATACGACTGTCGCCCATCTAATGACCGCCGACTGTGCCGCACAGTTGAGCACAATTTGGTTACAGCCCTGTGGCCAAATTGAAACGAGATAATATGCGCCAAAAAATAGAGCATCCGCGCCACATAAGAGGCGTACCCATATGCTGTCAAGAGCCGAAATTGTTTGTTCTGTTTGTGTCTCTGTGTGTCTGCGTGTGTGTGTGTGTTTGTGTGCTTATACAGCAGCCTCTAGCTGCGTCCACTTGTCTACGGCTGTTGAGATCTCTGTGGCTGCCCTCTTGATGATGGATCGATTGCTGTTTGATGTTGTTTGGTTTCGATGGGTTTCGAATGTTTGCTGCTGCATAATACACAGTTGCTCGCTGTTGCGCTGTTGCGCTGTTGCGCTATTGCTCTGTTGCTCTGTTGCTATGCATCAGCCCCCTTCAAATCATTATACACAAACATTAGAATTGTCAGTGAATTCTATAAATACTGTTCCTGAATCGCTCTGTAATTTTCGAAAAATTATAAATTAACCATAGCAGCGTGAGTTGAATGATTTGATGAAAATGATGGCTTGTCCCAAACATTTACAATTTATATGGTTTTGTATATCTTTGTATACATTTTTATTAAAAATAAACAAAGCTATATTTTAAAGTTAGGCTTATAAAACATTTAATTTGAGTTGATTGATTCAAGATTTAATTGTAGTGATATATTTCTTTCACTTCCTAAGTGGATCTCAACATTGTATGAATATAACTGAAAATATCATAGTTATGAAGAAAACACAAATTTCCTGATTTGATATATAGATTTTTATCTATTTATTTTTAAGTTTTATTATTTATTTATTTTGTTCAAATAAAAATTGAAATTTATTATTCCAATTTCAAGAACATTTTTTTTCAAATATTTTTATTCTCAATTAAATGATATCGATCGTATAGGAGATTTATGTATGTACATTCCAAATGAATTATTTTCTTAAAATACTTACTATAATTTTCTGACTTTTCTTAATCGAGTTTAGCAAAAGCATATTTCAATAATTACTGCTCATTCCTTAACTATAAACAATATTTACAAAATAGTTTATAGCTCAAGCTTTGCTCTTGATGTCATTCAGAATAATTGCGACTATATTACACATATAAACTGATTAATTAAACTCAATTGATTTATTAAACTCAACTGTTGAAAACTTTACTATGGACAATTTATGTTAAACCAGCCATATTTTGTCTACATGTTTTATGTGGATTACACATTCAACAAATGTACAAATATTTGCAAATAAATGTATGTAGACTGATATTTTTAATTAAATTGCAGTTGGCAAACATTTTATCTAAAACATGCCACTGCAGCTGGCGAGCTAAAGTGGAGAGTGAGGCCAGGTTGCAGTTGTAGTGAATGTGTAGCAAGTGCTTTCCATCCACGCTGAATGGAATGCACAGTTGCAGAAATCCCATCATTGGAACTCGGGCTGACACCTCCTTCATGGGCGCCGGGTAGACACGCCCGATGCCACTCGCTGCAACTCGAACATGTCCTGCTCGAGAGTCGACAGTCCAGCTATTGCTGCTATTGCTGCTATTGCTGCTATTGTTTACTCTGTGGCGTTGAAGTTGTCGCCTTGCACAGGTCCCACGTGTGGTATTAGTTACATCATGTTATTATCCCCAGTCTGGAGCGCATATAAATATATTGATGTGAATATATCTGAGAGTGGCTGTCAGTGTGTGTGAGTATGTGTGTGTGTGCGCGCTCCTGTTGTTCTCTGTTTAACTAGGTCAGCTTGAGCGCCGCGTAGCAAAGGATTGTGTGCGCCCACCTGCCACACCTGCCACTGCGGTGACCTTTTGTGCGAGGCTCTTGTGGCCTTTCGTGGGTGTGTTTCGCGTAGACAAACAGCCGCAAAAACACACACACCCACACACACACACACACCGACACGCGCGTACCTATATAAAAACACTGATACATATACGTAGACCTTATAGGCCCATATATATATATATATCTATATATATATATATATATATATATATGTATGTGGTGTATATATATTTGTGTATAAAAACTTTGGCTTTTGCGTGCGCATTTCCGCTATGACAGTTGAAATTTTACTCAATCAACAAGTCTCGCTTGTCGTTTCATGCCTCGTCTCGCTTTATCGAACTGCTGCGGCCGCAACAATAACAAAAGGGCTGAGCGAATAAGCCGATGTTAAGTGAATCGAATACAATCTGAATATACACCATGCAAACATTGCAGGCATATATATACACACACACACACACATACCTATATGTAGAGCAAGTTGAGTGCAGTTACGTTTGCATCATTTTCACTAGATATATATATATATATAGAGTATCTTCTAGTTGGGCCAACTCTACTAGCCAATTCGCAACCTGTTGCTGTGGAGTGTTTTTGTTAAATATTTATAGAGATTTTATAAATAGTTCAATATGGACTTTAGGGACGTTGCTTAGCGCAATTCATGCGTAAGCAATCGCTCGGGCTCCACAATGGATGCTCACAAATCGATAAACAATATACAATATGCAATACTGATATACATAAATGTTCTTCTCATTTTGCAGATATACCCGACATTCCCGATGACATTAAGCATCTGCAGAGCCTGCAGGTGGCCGACTTCAGCTCGAATCCGATACCGAAACTGCCATCGGGTTTCTCGCAGCTGAAGAACTTGACCGTGCTGGGCCTGAACGATATGTCGCTGACAACACTGCCAGCCGACTTTGGCAGCTTAACGCAGCTCGAGTCACTGGAGCTGCGCGAGAACCTGCTCAAGCATTTACCCGAAACTATTAGCCAGCTGACGAAGCTGAAGCGCCTGGATCTGGGCGACAACGAAATCGAAGATTTGCCACCATATCTAGGCTATTTGCCGGGCCTGCAGGAGCTCTGGCTAGATCACAATCAGCTGCAGCGACTGCCGCCAGAGCTGGGGCTCTTGACCAAGCTAACATATCTAGATGTCTCTGAAAATCGGCTGGAGGAGCTGCCCAATGAAATCGGCGGCATGGTTAGCCTGACCGACCTGGACTTGGCACAGAATCTGCTCGAGACTCTGCCCGATGGCATTGCCAAACTGAGCCGTCTGACCATACTGAAATTGGACCAGAATCGCTTGCAGCGCCTAAACGACACACTCGGCAAGTAAGTGTAGCAGAGGCATCTGTTGTGGCCTCCAATTAAAAATTCAATTCCATATTTTTCTTTCTTTGTAGCTGCGTAAACATGCAGGAGCTGATATTGACAGAGAACTTTCTATCGGAGCTGCCCGCCTCGATTGGCAACATGACCAAGCTGAGCAATCTGAACGTGGATCGCAACGCGCTGGAGTATCTGCCCCTGGAGATTGGGCAGTGCAGCAATCTGGGCGTGCTCAGTCTGCGCGACAACAAGCTGAAAAAGCTGCCGCCCGAGCTGGGCAACTGCACGGTGCTGCATGTGCTCGACGTGAGCGGCAACCAGTTGCTCTACTTGCCCTATTCGCTGGTCAATCTGCAGCTGAAGGCGGTCTGGCTGTCGGAGAATCAATCGCAGCCGCTGCTCACCTTTCAGCCGGACACGGATGCGGAGACGGGCGAGCAGGTGCTCTCCTGCTATCTGCTGCCCCAGCAGGAATACCAGCCCATCACACCAGGTAAGCTGCTCTAAACGGGCAACCGGTAAATGGTGCTCGAGATCGTGATTTCAGCTGCGTGCCCATTGTTTTAGTCATACGCCAGCAATTTCAACATTGGCCAATAAATATAGGGCGCTTATCTCTCTTAGCTGGCATACTTTGCACGGGTCGTCGTATCGTTGTGGTGCAATCTATGCTGGCGATAAGATAAGGGAACGAAACACTTGTTTGCTTGTGCCTACTAAAGCAATGGGCAACGCTTTGGATATCCAGTTGTAAAAGCCTTTTTCAAAATTCGAAATTTTTTCTAATTAATTTTGTTCTTGTAACTAAAAACTTTGAACGTTATTTGGCCTTAAAAATGTTATCGTGCACCAAAGCAAATTATCGAAATAACTCAAATACCTCTATGTACCTATTTTTATCGATTATATTTATTCTTTTATTTCATTATTTTTATTTTTTTTGCGCTCTCTAAATTTTACTGCACCTTCACTCACATTTCTTAAACAAACACCCCAAAAACAACATTAAAAACATCTAAAAATACCAAAGATTATCCACCTCAAGCGCTTTATAGATCAAGCGAAAAGTTCGATTCGATGGATTTCTTCAGTTATCAACAGAAAGGTTTGCGTTGCCTGTAACTTTTCCAATAACAACCGCTATTCATATAAAACCCCAATATATATATATATATAAATATGTTTAGTTGCCCTATAACAATAACTATATAGCAGAGTTGTGAATCATTTAAAGACTCGTGTTAGCTGAATGTTTATTATTAATTCGTGCTTTGCTAATATTATTCCATAATGATAATGTTATTTCATAATCATAAACATAAGACTAGATAACAAATTTATAAATTCTTTAAAAAAAAATTTTTTTTTTTTTTGTTTTGTTCGAAAACAGCAAAAATTGCTATATAACAAGAAATTAGTGCTAATGTTAACAATACAGAGAACTAGAGCTCTTATAATAGAGATTTCGGAATGCCGCCCCACCTGAATGATTTGTATTAATTCATGTTTTGCTAATATTTCGAATATTTTTATTAATTAATGGGTTGGCAAAACGAAGATAATCAAATTATAAGTACTTAATTCTTGAAGCACTCATAATTATTTTATATCAAACGATAATCAAAGCTAATCAAATTATAATTCCTTAACTCTTAAAGCTCACATAATTACTATATAACAAATGATTATCTGCTTTAGTTTGCTGCTAAAGTTACTAGTTCAAAGCTTTAAAATAATATAGAGCTATCATTAATTATAATGCTGTGTGCATATGCAGAGGCTCAAATACCTAGAAACTGAAATTCGTGAAAATTTATCTTCGGTACACAACTCTACTAAAATAGTAAGCGCATATAATCGGTGACTTAGCCATAACTTATGCATGCCCTTTCCTTATGCCTGTTACCTTGAAAAGCTCTAAGCCTTGGTTTTTGAGAAAGAATCCACAGAGGCCAGGTCTTGTGGGCATTGTGGTTGCTCTTAGAATTTGTTGCTTTGCTTAAAGCAAACCAGTTTAGTACCATAAAATGACGTCATATAAATCAGATAAAAAGAAGTTGTGTGTGTGTGTGTGTGTGTGTGTGTATGTGTGTGGAAGTGGGGCCGGGTCTGGCGTGGCCAAGCCAAGAGTTTTGGAGCTGTGGAGCCGTGGAGCAGTATTAGTAATGTACACACCCAACCTATACACAGCATACACTTAAAAAAAAATGCGCGTATTTGATTTGCTGTTTGATTTGATAATGCTATTATTTGCTGTTCAATTTCATTCATTTGACAGCCGGGCCGGGAAAATATTTGCCTTGTGCGTGTTTTCCATCAGAGATCCCATCGCATTGGCAATCAATCAACACTGTTTGGATTATGCTACTGATTCGTGGTTCGATTCTGACTCAGATTCAGATTCACATGGAAATTTTGTTATTAAACAGTTAGCTGTCAGTGGCGGCACGCCAGATCAAAGCGATTCTTCCGCTGCACAGCCGTTTTCTTTGTTTCGACACTCAGTCGATGGCGATGGCGATGGCGATGGCTTGCTGCTCCCAGTGATGTCAACTTTTCTGACGTCATGCTCTGCTCCCATTTGCTCCGAATGTGGAACAAGATCGACAGGCGATTCACGAGTAAATCGTATTAAAAAGGCAGCCGATGCTTAGCAATATTAATCGTTTTCTAACAGAGCGCACGACTCTGGATATTCTGTGTGCCGTTGATTAATTGACTGTCTAATAGCTACAGTAAAGCATGGCAATTGAGGAGCGCAACTGATCGACGACAAAGGTTTTCTACCTTCCATAAGCTTAACATCATTTTTAATAAATTTGCATTCAGGAAACTGAAGTTCAAGTCTATAGGTAAACATATTTGTTTATGTCATATGTCATCGGCTATAATTCATTGTTGTTCGTCTTGTTTCTCAATGCCTCACTGTGGCACTCATTCAACTTGTTGTTTTTGTGCTTTTCGTTTTATTGCGTAGTTTTTTTTTTCGTCTCCCAGCCCACCTCAATCGTAATATTTTGTAACTGTTTATAATCGAAAACAAGTTTTGTAGCAAACGCTAATAAGTGCTAAAAATAAATCGATAAGATCATCAATTTTTGTGCTCGTTCTTCATGCTTTATACTCCTTGGAAAAATAAGTTGAAAATAGTTTTGCTTCATGAAGTTGCCATGAAGTAAACTCTTATTATTATTATTAATTTTTTTGATCTTATTTTAATAATCGAAAATGAAGCAAAAGTCGTTTCATTCAAACATGGCTTGGAGTTTTTTTTTGATTTTTTTTACAGTTAGAGAGAGGATATCCCTCTATCTCTAGCTAGATTTCATTTGTTCAATAAGACCTAGAAGCTGTCTACAGGGTATTCTTGCTGCGCAGCACTCCTCACACTTGTTACTCATGTAAATGCTTGAGAATGTTGAATTAAATGATTTTCGTGAGTGCATCGAGCATATTTCTATCCAATTAACACACTTGCGTGAAAAATGCCCAAGACCAGGGACCAGACGGCGGCGCGGCGTCTCTTCAATAGAGTCGAGCCGAGTCGAGTGCACATATGTGGGTTAAGCTTTTTGGGGGTCTGTTGCGCCATGCTGCCATTGGTGGTTGGTGGTTGGTGGTTGGTGGTTGCGCCCGCGTCACTTAAGCGTTCAAATTATCCAATTAAAGCTGTGACGGTCAAGACACGACACGCCACGCAGTCGTTAAACCGACAAGAGACAATAGGGAATGGAGCAGGCGCCCCTCTTCAGTATTTTTATTGTTGTTACAGGTCTGTTTTATTTACATAAATCTTCATATGAGCATAGCTGAAGACGGCCCGCCAAATCTACTCGAGCTATCAATGACTAAAACAACGTCACACACACACACACACACACATACAGACACATAGACACATGTGCCCCACTGGGTGTTGGTCATTGTAAAAATTTGTGGTGCTCAGTAAAAACTGTAAGTTATGAGCTGACATTGGATGCAGCTACTTAAGCCAGGGCCAACTACTTCCGTCATAAACAACGATTTAAATTTGCGTATTGATCTGCGGCCACTCCCCACTCCCCTCTCTCCTCTACCGGCTGCCAGCTGCCATCTTCCAGCTCAATGTATTGTAATTGGTGAGCGGGCTGCCCACATGTTGCAATTTTAATATTGTTTACGATGAGTGGAAATTTATGGCGCACATTCCCGCAAGCACTTGATGGATTAGAAGCGCACCTGAGGATGCGGGCGGGGTGCAATGTTTATGCCGCTGTCTAAAACAAATAAAAATATTTATACATATAAATATATATGTATGTATATGTATGTACATAGTGAGATCGTTGTTGTAGTTGGTGTTTCAATTGCCGCTTTTATTGAACTTGGATAGGAGAAGCCACAGGTCGTTAAGCGAGAACAGTGTAAATATTTAGAAATCATACCGAGAGCTCCTAGCTGTGTGCATGCGCATGCCGTTTCCTAATTCCATCAATTGGTTAAACAACAATTAAAGTCAAATTATTCATAAATATTCATTCTCAATTCTTTGCCACAGCACGCGACATGGAATCGGACTCGGAGCCGTACGAGGAGCGTGAGCCTTCGCGCACCATTGTCAAGTTCTCGGAGGAGGTGCCCCAGGAGAAGGATACGCCGTTTGTGCGCCAGAACACGCCGCATCCCAAGGATCTCAAGGCGAAGGCACAGAAACTCAAAGTGGAGCGCAGTCGGCACGAGGAGAACGCCAATTTGGTGACACTGCCAGAGGAGGTAAATGATACAAGAAGATCAAGTGAACAGGTTCAAGGGTCGAGTTTATGCGTCTACTTCAGATGCCCCTAATTGTTATAAAAGAAAAAAGAAAAGAAAATAATAACAATTTATACAATTGGGGTTCAGCTGAGGCAGCCTCGCTCTTGAATGAATTTCGAAACTTCTGACCTCGTTTTTATGGTAGTTTAATAAATTGCATTTTATTGATATTTTATTCAAATTAATTTCCCCGCATATGCTTCTATAACTGCGTCTTTTTATCTATTAATATTATTATTATTATTATTATTATAAATATTTTTATCGAAATTATTTCTGCTTTTTATTTACTTTTATGATTTTTATTTACCCATACTAACAGTATTATTAGTAATATTGATTGAAGTCACTTGGGTACATTTATCTAAGCAAATTTGTTGCCTTTAATTTATTTTTAATTTTATCAGTTAAAGTTTTTTTATGCTTAAGTATGTTTATATTCACTCTGTACGTATTTTGCTTTATTTTGCTGCATTAAATTAAATTAAATACTTTATGCTTCTCCTTTGTTGCTTCCTTTATATTTTGCTTACTTAAATTAATATTTAATTTATTCATAACAGAATGGCACCAAGTCAGTCGTGACAGAAACCCCCGTTGAGCCGCGCACTGTGGTCAATAATCAGCAACAGGTAGCCGTGACAGCAACCAATAGCACAACTGCTGCGCAGCCGGTGCAGAAACCAGCTGCGGTGGTGGTGAATTCGAAACCCGCTGCGGTCGGCGTCATTTCACCAACACAAACGGTTACAATTGCAGCAGCGCCACCAACCACACAGGGCGACTCTGGCTCAGCGAAGGCCAGAACCAACGCCGGCAGCGACATGGCAGCAGCAACAGTTGCCGATGTCGCTGATGATGAAGATAAAGATGAATATGTAAGTAAATTTACAGTTTATTATTAATTAAATCTATTTTTGATAATTATAATTTGTACTTATATTCACTATTCTTCCAGGAAACCGACCGTCGTGTGGGCTTTCAGGTGGAAGGCGAAGACGATGATTTCTACAAGCGGCCACCCAAGCTGCATAGACGGTAAGACTGATTAAGAAATGCATAGCGAAACACGTCGCCAATCCGTTTGCTTGTTTGCCTTTTCCAGCGATACGCCACATCATCTAAAGAACAAACGTGTGCAGCATTTGACCGATAAGCAGGCAAATGAAATTTTAGCCAATGCCTTGGCCTCGAAGGACCGCAATTCGCCAACGCCACAGCACTCGCTGACCAATGTGCAGTCCCCCATCGAGGAGAATGCCGATGCTGAGCAATTCGAGCAAGAGCAGGAGCAACAGCAACAGCAACACCAACAACAGCAACCATTCGATATATCGCTCTCCCCAATACCAGCTCCCAAGGCCGAAGCAGCAGGTAACTTATGTTCAAACAATATTTAAAAAAAGAAACAGCTCTTTGCAGCTTTAACTACTCGAAGGGGGCTCTCTTAAATACCCAGAAAGCAAGTGCAGGCTACGCCCCACAAATAATCAATATCCAATCGATACGCATGTCCAAGTCTTACAATATCTCAGCGTAGTTCCAATTTCGAGTACTTATTAGTTATGACTACTTTCACTTAGCTAAACGGGTCAAAGGGGGGTCCACATAACTTTATAGAAAAATGGGTGCATTGAAATTCATTTCTCATTTAACTATAATTATCATATTTACTATTTATAAACTATGAATATATTATATATATGCTTGATTGCAATTGATATAGACAACATATAGTAAAAATTGTATAAAATTGATTTCTTCTAGAAGTCTCATGTCTGTTTAGGTGCGAGAGAAAAAGTATTAGACAATAACATCAAGTGAAATTTATTTTCTACAATCTGCAATCTACAAAACGAGCTCTTTATATATTGCCATGAAGAATTCAACTGTTTGTAGTTAGTTGATCTTATCTTTCTGCTTAACCATCAACAATTCACAGTTGAAGCGAATGTCTCTTTTCTACTCTTTCTACTTTTGACTCATAAAACGATTGAGTTAATTTATTGTATATAATTATTCAATTTGGGTTTATATTGAGATCATGGATTTAAAATCTTTACATTTCGGCAGAAAGAGGCTATAATTACCTTATATTGACTGGAGATTAAAATCTATGATTCGCTTTAGTTTACAGAGATCATAAAAATTTTTAAATCAACGAAATTTTTAGACAGTATAAAATATGCTAAAGTTTGAAAAACTGTATTTTGTTTATTTTTTTATTATTATTAATTTTGTTTAATCTATTAATATCTATTTTATTTATTTTTTATTGTTTTTAATTATTATTATTATTATTATTATTTTTTTTTTTTTAAATCTTATTACTTTTGTATATATATTTTTTGAACTAATATTTTAGTAATGTTTTTTTATTTTATTTATTTATTTATTTTTATTTTTTGTTTTGTCTTTTTTAATATTTATTCACATTAAATTATAAATTTAATATTTGAGTGGCCTAATAGAGCAAAACTATATTTCTTTTCTAATATGATAAATTAGTTTTATGAAGTTTCGAAAACTTATGTAAAAGGTTTCCTGCGCAACGTATTTCAAAAATTGTATCCTTAAGAGAAATGTATAATGAATTAGATCAATTATCTATCTATCAAATGCAATAATAATTTTTTTAGTATCAAATACTTTCAAAGTAAACATTCGTTTATAATATCAATGATATAATTTATATTGCTAAAGACTGTAAACATCCACATATACATGAAATCGAATTTATTCGGATATTCGGTTCTCTTACAACATCTTAGGTCAGTTCTGGCTGTATTCAAGCGCGTTAATTGCAATCAGTTCAAGACTTGGTCGAGTACCAATTCGAGTTAAGTGCGGAAACAAAGATTTCATTATCTCGCAGGCCCATTAAAAGAGCGTTACGATAAAAAGTAGAGTTTGGGAGGCAAAGATGTGCGCAACAGGTAAACAAGCGCTGGAAATTCGGTCTATAAATACACAGACACGCAACTCTAATAATTAGGGCCAGTACCGCGCCTATATATAGGGCCTGGGGGCTATCGGCGTGCGCTATCTGTTTGCTGGCTTGCAAAAGCTGATAAAATACACATGTGGGGCGGAAAAGGGGCGGGGTAGATAACTACAGCAGCAAACTCAGTGTGAGCACTCACGAAGCAGAAACGGGGGGGAAAGGGGAAAGATTAAAGAGGCAAATGAGCAAAGCGAAAAAGAGCGACAGCTATGAAGAGCGCAACAAGTTGAGAAAGTGTAAAAAATGAAATAAATAAAAAACGGAAAACTGAAAACTGAAGCTGAAATCAGCCGCCTCATTATGGCAAATGTCGAGTAGCTACCTCTGTGTGTGTGTGAGTGTGAACTGTGAGTACACAGGTTGCTTACTAGAGAGATAGAGAGAGAGAGGCAGAAAGAAAGAGAGCAGTGCAGGGCAAGCGAAAGAGAGAGAGAGTGTGAGTGAGTGAGTGCAATTGGCAGTCTGCCTCTGGGTCTGGGTCTCGACACTTTGCCCATTTGCCGCCGACTTTAGTCATTTTTTAGTAACGCTGGCGTTTTGTCAACATCGCGAGAGCGCGCGCTATATATATCGCGTTTGTCTTGAGTTCCATACAAATAGCATTTACTATTATTTGTTTATCATTATTAACGCCTGCTGAGTAGACACACACACACACACACACACGCACACGCAGACGCAAGCAAAGCCACTCACTCGCACACACACTCGCCCACTTGGGAGCCAAAACAATGGCAATAATAACATTGAAGTCAAAAACTTCACATACCTTGACTTAGTCAGAGGCCCGAAAACGAAAAGCAAGATGTAAAAAAAACAGTTGTATGTTAAATATATATGTATACTTTTATATATATATATATGCACATGCATATTACACTTTGCAAACGAGTGCGAATTGCTGTTGCTGCTTATCGATTGAGCTGCGGCTACCTAGCCACTGATTAGACACTTTCTGTCGGCCGACACTTGCATCGCGTATACGCAGCGTTAGCCCTAATTGAATTTCAAGTGTAAATATGCAGAGTGTAAGGCGCTGGCGCTTGTGGCAAGGTCGATTTAGCTGCTCAAGGTTAGACCGTGGCACATGAGCTGCTTGCTGGCTGCCTTGGAGCTTCAGCAGCTTCCGCTATTTGCATTTTGGCTGCAATGCAATACGCAGAAAAAAGAGCGAGCTTGAAAGGAAATTTTGTATGTTGTTTATATAGTCACAGACTTCTATCTAGCTCTAGCTCTTACAGATCTCCCTCTCGCTTTTGGGTCTTTATCTCTCTCTCTTTTTCTTTATATATTTGCACATGACAAATATGCCAAGTTTATCTCCTTTTGCATATTGGTGTGCCTGTGTGTGTGCGTGTGTGTGTGTGTAGTGTGCATATCCGGTTTACTCGCTGCTCGTTGCCTTCCTTCCTTTTGCCTTTTATTTGGGTTAGCTGCCTCACAAGCACAATCAACATTTGCTCAGTACCTTTTTGCATTGCTTTGGCAAACAATACGCTGCATTTGCCATCAGAGTCCGCATTGTGATTTCTTAAAGTGTGTGGCTGCTGCTGTCCCTGGCTGCCCCAGCCCCACCCACTCAGTACTCGGGTTGGCCAATAAATAAACCGAAACCGTTGATAAGCCCAAAGCAATGCAATTGATTTTATGTATTGTATTGCTGATTGCACGCTGGGCCCTTATTGAATTTCTGCACTGTGCGTGTTTGCATTGTTTGTTTGCTAAAATGCCCTTTTGCTATGTCAAAACACTCTTGTTGGATTATTATTTGTTGCTCACGTTGTTGTTGCTGCTGCTGCAGGCAACAATTGAAACTATCGGCATTTTGATGGATATTCCATTATCGAATCGTTTACTTGTTCTTTCTTCATTTCTTTTTTTTTTCGAACAGCTTAAGCAGTTTCGTTTTGTGAGTTTTGTCAGTCAGTCAGCTCTCTTTGTTGTTGGCTTCGATAATTCGACATTTCGCGCACTCAAATTAAACACGAAAAATGCAATAAACGCCAGTTAAGAAAAATATGGCTTAGAAAAAAATGGAAAGAAAATAGAAAAACAAACTGCGTAACCGACAGGAACAGCGGGCGGCAGGCGGCAGGCGGCGAGTGCGGAAGCGAAAATGGTTATGTCACACGATTTTGCATTACATTCAAAGCGAGAAAATATTCCAAATCCGCGAAATACTAGAAGCCTTATTGCTACAGGCTGTGCCAGAGCGAGGGGGAGGGGAGGTTGGCTTGACGTGTGAATAGGCAACATGTCAGCGAACAAATATTGTTCACTCTGTGCTAATAGCGATCGTCAAGTCAAATGCCGTTTTAATGTGCTTAACCTTACGATTCGTTGGTGTTGCAAAATATTAAATCAATTCTCAAATACCCTTCTTCGGCACTCAAATAAATTACTATGACTCATGATAGTAGCTTGAATTCTTCGCTTAATCAGTTCCAATTTGATGTGCTATAAGCATCCGATTAATTTGGATTTTTTTTTGTCTGTTCCATCCATTTCAAGTTCGAAATAAACCTTCAAATTGTCAGTCAGCCAAAAAAACTGAAAAAGTGAAACTAATTAAAATCCACTTTTCGTTGCTTTTTGCTCTGTTTCTGCACACAGCGTTCATTTTTTTTCTCTATTTCTGCATGCAGTTTATATCGCACGTTCAATTAAATTGAACGCTATTAACGTGTAACAATTTTCATTTTTCCCAAAAAAAAGTTGGCTTTAATGGATCAGTTATAATTTCTAGTATGCTTGCTTCTGCATACTGAAATCAGTTTGTAGTTTTTATTGCACTTCTAGTTCATTCAAAAACAGTTGTCAGGTTTGCGAATAATGCGTTAAATTGAGCTGAAAATTAATGGACTTATGATGTCATCGCTTAACCTATTACACACGCTTACCCACACCTATGCACTCACTCACACACCTGCAGCCATTCTGTGCGTGCGTGCATTGTATTTCATTTCTTCATGCCATAATATCAATTTCAATTGTCCATCGCACCGTAATCATTGATAAGCCGATGGCGTATGGGGCCCTTACTCAAAATTACGCATACGACAGGTGGACCAAGGTCATTAACTAACGCTTGACTTTGGGCTGGTGTAATGTTGGTGCCGTACGCCGTCCCAAATATGTCGTAATGATTCAGTTTTCCAATTTTTGCTGCCTTATCGCAGACCCCAATTTAATTTCCAGAGCTGTGCCGTGCGTCGCGTCAACGCTGTTTGTTTCTGTTTATATTTTGTGATTCTGTTTCTGCTGCCTTTATGCGCTTATCAGCGTGGCTTTAGGCATTCCAAAGTTATTGTTGTCATACCTGTATACGGCCACCCGATTAGATATGAACGAGCGCACCCCTTCTCGGGCCGATTCGTTTCAAAATACGTAGAACGCTTTAGCACCTATCGAAAAGTTGTACACAAAGATATGTTTTGTTTTTCTTATACACCTAGATGGGTCGTTCGATTTGGTGATGAAATGTGTAACTCATGTCAGAATATATAGCTAGCCCGTATCGCAGGTCGTCTTCTGTTCATCTGTCGAACCCATAAATTTGAAATGAAAATATGGAAAATAAAAATTTTTATTCTGCAAACTTTTCCACTGTTTGGCCAAAGCAACATTCAGCGTTTGCTATTAAAGCATCTACGCGTTTCGCTGCTGCAGATAACAAAGTGCAACTTTTTGCTTGGCTTTATGACAATAAGTCAACGTTTTTATGCCACCACAAAAATTGTGATTCATTAGTTTGTGGCACCGCATTTAAAAGCGTCGCTCGACTGTTTGGGTCCGCTGGATTTTGATAGCCATACACTTACAATTTGTCAAGAGCTCCCGCAACATGGCCGGCAATTTATCACAACGGCTGCAGACTGAGCCCTGCCACATGAATTTTCACGGCCGGGCACAGGGCGGAGCCAGCTCACGTGCTCATCGAAAGCTCTTTAAGTGCAATTAGGCACTTGATCTTTTGCTATTAGCCTTAAAAAAGAAAAGAGCAGAATATCGAAAGCCAAATAGAATGCAATTAAGCCGTTTACGTTTGCGGTCATTGGCATTGGGTATATAAAGGCCTGTGGATCAATTGACAGTAGTCAGAATATAAATGAAAATTCAATTGTGGGGGAGACAAGTGCCCGGCTCTTCGGTTGGCATAAGTCTGTGACATGCGTCCATTAAATTTGCATAAAGAAAATGTTTTTTCAAGTTTTCCCAGCAAGTTCGACTTGTGTCATAAAGAGAATATGTCAATGGTCCGCCAGAAGCAACAGAAATAATGCGAGCATTTCAACAAGCAAACTCTGAGGCATGCGGGTCGCCTAGCAGTGAACTTGGACTCAAGCCGGAGACGTGTGTCCGGCTGTCCGGCTGTCCAGCTGCCCGGCTGTCAATGGCCGGAGAGAGGATATGCACGACATGGCTGGACACAAAGCCTGTCCTACATGTGAAATATGAGTTTTGCATCTGAGCTGGAGGCCAGGCGCCAGGGACTAGGAGCCACAGACGCAGACCTAGTAACTCCCTGGGTTTCTGACATGTGGTCCACACACACACTCACACACACGTGTGTTTTGACATTCAGACTTCGAGCCAGGTCATTTACATATAAATAAGCAAAACGCGTCACAGTCGTCGTCACATCGCATTGATTTGGCATTTGCCAGCTGTACTTCACGTAGGCAGAGACGAACATTTTCTCATATTCAAAATGCGTTCGGGGAATCGCGCTCTGTTGCTGTTTAGAGGTTTTCCCAGCAGCGCTTTTAATGAGTTTTACCCGCGCATTTTATGCGTTGCTCCATTTGGATCTCTATTCTTTTTCTTATTTTTTTGTGCATTTAAATTCATGCTCCCCACAGTGCCTGCCTCTCATTTATTTATTCGGCCCGCCCCTCCTTTACGCACTTCATTGAGCGCAACGGTCGCTGAGCATCTTTAAAATACTTATACCTAAATGCACACTCAAATGTATGAAGGGCGTCGTAAAATTTTCAAATGTTTATTTGAGTGCATGGAAATGGCAACTGCTCCACACGCTAACATGTGTGCGGACCAAATATTTGGGCTACTCACAAAAGCCTCAACTCTTGAAGAGAGTTTGTTTATTTTTTGCGAGAGATTCGAAACGTGGCAAAATAGAATGAGGAATTTCATGTCAGTAAACATTCTATTACTTATATATCCACGTGCTGATTATGCAGCTGCCATTAGGCAAAAGCATACCAAAATTCTATGATTCCATTTCTTAACTATTATAATTTACTTGTCTTTCATACGGAATCATGAGGCATATGGCTTTTGGAGTAGCCTAAGGCTGGAAACAGACATTTTCAATCTGCACAAATAAGCTCGAATCATGGCAACCAGCTATACACTTGTTGCCTACTTATTGGCAGCTGCTGCAGCACAGATAACCACACACACACACACACACACACTCACACTCACAGTCAATTCGTGTTACCGGACTTGAGTTAGCCAAAGCCAGTCGAATATATTTTCGTTATTTCTTATGATTGCTCATCATGCTTGCTAGTTTATGTTTCTGCTTGCGAATTAAATATTTCTCAGAAAAAATTCGATGAACATATTGATTCCAATTCGACTTAAAAAATGTCCACTGATGAGATATTACAAAGAATAATATATTATATTATATTTATTTAAATTTGATCCACTCTCTGCTCTCTTTAAAGATATTAGGCTTATCCAACTATTTAAATTTATTTATTTTCATATTAGATTTTAAAATAATTTCTTTACTCTTATGATAAAAGTTTTATCAGCAAGAGTATTTCACTTTTGGAGTGCTGAAGATCTAAGTTGTTTATGCGTGTGTTTTGGGGGCTTTAAACAAAAGTGCAAAGATTTCTTCATGGCTTTACTTTCAAGTCACAATTTGTGTGCACGTGTATGCGTGCATTTATGTGCTTGTGTGTGTGTGTGCGTGTGTAAAGCCATAAAATGTTTTCATATGGCACAGACATCAGTGAAATTGTTGAACATTTCACACATTCGCTCAACAAGCTGAAGAAGAAATGAAAATCTTTTCGCATTTATTGCCGTATTATTTATCAGTCGTCGGCATTCGTTGTTTTATGATTTAAATAAAAAGCGTTCTCAAATAATTCAAGCGGAGCACAAAATAAATAATTGCCAATTTATAACGATAACATCAGGACAGTCTTATTTTGTGGGCGAATTTAAACTGAAGATATAGTAATAAAAAAAAAAAAGTGGAATTTAATAATTTATATGCGGGGTATCGATTACAGCGCAAATAACTGTTGTCTGTTTGAATACGAATACATCTAAAATGCAGACTTCAATTAATATTTGCGCACAACGAGAGAAATTATAAATGTGAAGCGGCTCACGCCATTAGACGCGCCACAGTCATTAAAACCAAAATAAGTTTGGCAAACTGCGGACGGATTTATTGAGTGCAAATCAGCCAAGTTCACAGTTGTTCACAGTTATAGCCAAGGTGTAGACAACGAGCAGCACGAGCTGGAGCTGCTCCCTGGAGCTCTCCGAGTCCTAATTTATTTAATTATTATACAAAAGTCGCTTCAGGGCAGACCTGGACTGATGTTGTTCTGGCTCAAGGTCGTTGGCTTTATGGCCGACGAAGGTGGCTTCGTCTGCTCTCCAGTTGCTCGTTTATTGGCCCCTGAGTGGGGCCTCAGCTGCAGACTTTTCGCTTGGCCAAAACATTTTTGGCCATTAAATTTGCTGGGAAATTTTGATGTCATTAATGTGTAATTTATGCAATGCATATAAATTCAACTTCGTCTATGGCGTCTGCCGATTCGAATGTATTGGCAATAAAAACATATTTTATTTAATAATTTTAACAATCTGCTGAAATTTATTTTATGCAATTTTCCAATCAAATGCACATCAGTTCAAGTAAAGGGCGTGCGAGTGTGGTGTGGTTGGCTTCTTATTGCAAAGCGCATTCAAATGAAAGGGTTTCTTTAGCAAACAAACAGGGTGATTCTTCAATTGCAATCGTAGAGCTAGAATGATGCCAAGCAGCGCATATTGAAAGTGCATTCAAGTAGAAACTCATAAGCTGCATCATGTTCAATGTCAAAATAAAAGTCAAGGAGGGCAACAACACTCTGCCCCGCAGCGCACAGCGCAACAATGGGAGCTCCTTGATGGCCGCCGGCGGCAGTGGACGTAACAGTCCCGCCACGGGCAGCCTACGCAGCTCCCTGGCCTCCTCGAATGGCGGCTCGTTGCGGCGCAAAGGCAAGCACGTGCGCATCGTGACCAGCTACGATCCCCTAGAGCGGGACTATGAGCGAAACAGGCAGCAGTTCGGTAAACACTTGTGGAGTAGTTGAGGATACGAACATCTCGAATGCATACTGAATAATGTATTCTCTCTCTTGCAGATAACATTGATGGCGTGACGGAGCTGCGCCTGGAGCAGTACGAGATACACATTGAGCGCACCACGGCGGGCTTGGGCCTGAGCATAGCCGGTGGCAAGGGCTCGACGCCCTTCAAGGGCGATGACGATGGCATTTTCATATCGCGCGTAACCGAGGGGGGTCCCGCCGATCTGGCCGGCCTCAAGGTCGGCGACAAGGTGCTCAAAGTGAACGGCATTGTTGTCGTGGATGCGGATCATTACCAGGCTGTGCAGGTGCTCAAGGCCTGTGGCGCGGTGCTGGTGCTGGTGGTGCAGCGCGAGGTGACACGCCTGATTGGCCATCCCGTGTTCAGCGAAGATGGCAGCGTCTCGCAGATCTCTGTAGAGACACGCCCCCTGGTGGCCGAAGCTCCAGCTGTCACACAGGAGCGCTACATTCCGCCGCCCATTCAAATAGTTCCAGAGCAGCTGCAGCAGCAGCCAGTGCATCAGTTGCAACAGCTGCCACCTGCCCATGCACATTCGGCCAATGTGTTTGCCACGCCCTCGTCAGCCACGAATGGCATGCTGCAAGAAAATGGCAAAGTAGTAAGTAGTACATTCCGACGTTTTCCCTAGACTTGTAATCCAGTTTTACTGACGTTTGTTGTCTCACAACAGGATTTGGCGCCGTTGAGCTTCATTCAATTGCACACGACGCTTATACGCGATCAGATTGGGCAGGGACTAGGCTTCAGCATAGCCGGCGGCAAGGGTTCACCGCCATTCAAGGATGACTGCGATGGGATTTTCATATCGCGCATTACCGAGGGCGGTCTGGCGCATCGCGATGGCAAAATCATGGTCGGAGACCGTGTGATGGCGGTGAGTGAATCGAGCCTTGCTTTGGGATAAGTGGCAGACGCTAATTGCATTTCATTGTATGAACGAAAACACCTTTTTCTACCGCAGATTAACGGCAACGACATGACGCAGGCCCATCACGACGCGGCTGTTGCCTGCCTCACTGAGCCGCAGCGGTTCGTGCGGCTCGTCCTACAGCGCGAATACCGCGGCCCACTTGAACCGCCACTGAGTCCGCGCAGTCCCGCCGTGCTCAACTCATTGAGCCCGTCCGGCTATCTGGCCAATCGACCAGGTTAGAATCTGTTCACGCCTCAATGCTTCGCTCTCTTAACTTTGTTAACTTTTTCCACCCCTCCTTCCCACCCATCTCTTTTTCGTTTTGTCTCTCTCGTTCTCTGTCGAGCAGCAAACTTTGGACGCTCTGTTGGCGACGAGCAGCCCTACAAGTACAACACACTGGCCAGCACGCCGGCGGCAACTGTGACGACTGGCGTCGTTCATAATAACAACAGCAATAGTAATACGCTGCCGAGCAATAAAACCAACGGATTTGCAACAGCTGCTGCTGTCAATGCTGCTCCAGCTTATGCAACAGCTGCCACAGCCGCAGCTCCAGCTCCAGCTTCAGCTGCGCACATTGACAAATCCACGGGCCAGCCGGTGCCAGCGCCACGTCGCACCAACTCAGTGCCTCATGCTGATGGCGATGGTCCGGTTAATGGCGCCGCGTCCACCAGCAGCGGCGACTCTGGCGAGGCTCAGGTAGGATAACAAGCGAATACTTTGTAGTGGTTAATCGTAGCTCTGTTAGTGTCCTAGTTTTAATCGACTGTCTAGTTGTTTGCACGCCATCTTAATGTTGATCATAAGCTCGTTTGTTCGTTCCCTAATCCATGCTCAGGCTTAGCCTTAAGTAACTTTCAGGCCAACACTAAAAACCATAAGAACTTGCGCGACAGTTGGTCAAGTCAAGTCAAGTCGACTCGACTCGAATCGATTCAGATCCAGCAGGTAAGTCTAGGCATGGTTGTTGGCCAACTGGCGCGCAGGTGAGATGCCCAAGGATTCATGCAAATTGTTGTTGATAAACACATAAACACTCCTCCTTAAACGAACTCATTTTTATATACAATACAATTATATAAATATATTGTATATCTAATTGTGCTAATACATACTCGTATCTGCCAGTTTATCAACCTATAACCCTAGCTCTTAGCCAACACACATACATATCTACTACATAAACACAATATAAGTACATACTATATATATATATCTACATATATTTACGAAATTTGTTTGTGTTTGTTTTGCATGTGCCCTGTGCGCGCTCCTCCTATTCGTGTTTTATCTTGTTACTTCTTGTCATTTTTTGGTCTCATATTACCCCCCAAGCATTTCTATAAGTACATAGATAAGTATGCACAAGCAATTTTTGTGTTGCTTCTTTTTGTCCTTGGCTTATAGCGTACGTATGCACTGAGATTGAAGAGCCCAGTTAAGGGCAGGTCTAGCTGGCCAGAAACTGTGTATATACATACATACAATATATAACATAAATATATATATATTTATATATTTATGAAACGGCACACATTCATACCATCTACAGTTAGAAAGTTTAGCTTAGCTTTTAGACCCAAAATCCAAAAACTGTGTAACGAAATTTACAAAAACCAACATATTTTTGTTTCTTTTTCTATAAAACCAAATGTTGCTTTAAAAATGAACTTTCCACCAAAAAAAAAAAAAAATCCAAATCCAAAAAACTTGTCCAAATCAAATTGAAACTGAAAATAAAAAAAAAAAAAACAATCAACCATCTACGACAACGAGCAGCCCTCATCACTCCGGCCGTTGACCAGCGATGATTTTCAGGCGATGATTCCGGCACATTTTCTCAGCGGCGGCAGTCAGCATCAGGTGCATGTGGCACGGCCCAACGAGGTGGGCGTCAGCGCTGTCACCGTGAATGTTAACAAACCGCAACCAGACTTACCCATGTTCCCAGCCGCGCCCACCGAGATAGGTCGCGTCACCGAGACCATCACCAAGTCCACATTCACGGAAACTGTGATGACGCGCATCACCGACAATCAGCTGGCGGAGCCATTGATCAGTGAGGTGACTATCACAACATCACGCATACACTAAACGCAAAAAAAAAAAAAAAAAAAAAAAAAACAATCAAAATATTAGAAAAATGCCAACAAAAGATACCAAAGTTGTCAAATGTACATATATATATATATATATATATCTTTTAATCTATATATATATTTGTACACGATAAACTCTGTGTATTGAATGGCTCGAAACTCTCCCGAACGCAGCGGAAATTTTGAGAAATGTTCGTGTAGCGCCATGCGTGGAGGCGCCCCATGGGGCATCATTAAGCTGCTCATTGCACACGCAATCAACAACCAGGATGAGAGTTTCTTTTCACATACTTTTGCACACCATAAACACATACACACACACATACACACCCGCCCACCCACATACACATACAGCCACCAAAACACCATTTAATTTTATTGTATACGAATGTAATTGGCTCTATTCTCTTTTTTTTTTTTTTGTTTGGCCCTCATCTTATTTGTATAGCCGTTAAGCACCTATATAAAACCTATATGAATATACATTGTAAATAAAATGATTTGTGCGTTTTTGCAAACGAAATGATTTGATCGAAAGAAAACTCCTCTTTGCTTGAGATGCACGGCGAACGCTCCATCATAGATCCAAGAATCCTTCAAATCCCATGTTGAAGCGTTTGAACTATGCGTTTTCCAATGCACATGATTGAATAACTGTAATTGAAATGCATTAAGCATTATGCAAAACACGCACATCGAACTAATTTAAATAAAAGTGTAATATTTTTTTATAGTTTCGTTGTTGTTGGTCAATGGTCTTCCATAACAACCCATTAATATTGTTATCGATAAAATCGCCTAGGATTATCGATTGGTCAATGGTGCATGCAATTTATGATTTATAATTATTCAATTAGATTTTGGTGCATTTAATTAAAAGCCTAATGATTTGATATTTACTAACCAACGTATTTAAGAATCTATTATTTAAATTAACTGAAATTTTTATCGCATTCTAAATGCGAGTATAATAAAAAAAATTATTATAATTTTGGTAATTTATAATCAATTGCTAAATATAATTCGCATTCATACGATTGTCTATAATAATTTGCGTTACTTTTCGTTCGAAGTCAGACCTCTCTCTATTCACAAATACAACTGTAACTTTGATGAGAAACGAGTTTGAGTCTGGAAGCATTAGTAGCAAAAGAATTAAAGCATTTACCTCTCACATCATATTAAAAATAATTCTAAATTCCATAATGTGCTCAAGATCTTGATAGAGATATCAGATGAAAGCTGACAAGAAAATCAATAATTTATAAATTTGCTTAGTATTTCAGCAGGTCAGAGATTAGATAACTATATACAATGAGAATAATAACAACAAATGGAAAATATGTCGAAGAGGGTAGTAAGTCTTACAAATATCAGAGATAACAATAGCTCTAGCTGATTCAGTGTACACTGTGCAACATTGTACGAGTTGAAATTGATTCAAACTAAATTGTTTCAAGTTACAAGAGATCGAATTGTCAAGTATCCTTGTTTGGAATTCACGTAAAGAGTTCTATTTATAGCACTTACATATGGTTTACATCCACTTAAACCGTAGAACAAAAGCCCCTTGGGGGCAATCGTTTAAAGCCCAGTTGAGCAGATACAAATTGGTGCAATTGTGTTAGATGCTGCTCAACCGCTTGTTACATGAATAACTAAGCTGAGCAAGCTATGCGCAGACAGAGTGCTTTAAATATTGCATTGCCGGAACAAGGAGATACACGAAAAGTGCGTTTAGTGCAGCAGAGCTGAATGACAGGACAGACATATAAGTATCCGAGAGATCCCAGAGTGCAATAGGGGGCGGTGTCATTGTCAGCCCTTGAACAAAACTTGTGGGGTTTATCATTCATCCGCCTGTCAAATGGCTAGCATGAAAGCCAACTTGCACTCAAAGTATAAATAAAATATTTAATTGTTTTTCATTTCACTTCTTGGCACTTGCCCTCGCCAGTTTGGCAGTGTCGTCTGTACGTCATTTGGCCAACGGCGTCGATTGCGGCACTTCATTCCCAAATAAAGAGTCCAATTTGCTTTAGTGAATTGCCAAAAGTTATGGCCAAGTTAAGCAATCTGAGATACAGTTTATTTCTGCAGAAGAAAAGTTGTTTGTGTTGATGCATGTCGTCTGCGCTCGGCTAATGAATGTAAAACTGAAATTATACTTTGACAGTTTAATAAAAGACTCACAGTAAAAGAGTGTGTGCGAGAATCTGTGTGTGTGTGTGTGTGGGTGTGTGCATGTGCGTGTCGTGTCGTGTTTTGAATTTTAAATCGTGTGTGCTACACCGCAGGCAGCTCAAAGTACTTTTAAACAAGTTGCAGCTTGTGTTTGGCATATGCAGACACATACATACACATGTTCCGTCTACGGATTTAGATTGAAACTTAACCGCAAACCAGGGGCTTTGCCGACATGCCAAATAATTATTTTAACTTATTGAATCTCATTTGATATGCATTGAAGCTGTTTTAAATGCATAACATATTATTTTGAATTATGTTTAATATCTATGGTTTGTGTTTGGTTTGGTTTGGTTTGTTTTGGTTGAATTGCGTTAATTGCATGGCTTTTTGTTTTGATTTGGTGTTAACCTGGTGTCTTTGTCTCTGTCTCTATGCCTGTGTCTGTCACTTTCTATTTCTATTTCTAAGCTCTGTCCTTTATATTAACATGAGATCTGAAATTCGTTCATGTAAATATTACCAACAATTTTGCACACAATCACACTCATAAATGAGGCCATCCACATAAGCACCCTTCGCCACGTGCTCTACAAGTTTCAGATTAGGAAGAACACCTAAATATTTAGTAGCTATGTATTATATCTGTTTAGTCTTATGCACACCTATACCAGCCGCAACAAACACTTATATCGCATCTCGTTGTCTCTGTAGGAAGTGGTGCTGCCCAAAAATCAAGGCTCACTCGGCTTCAGCATCATCGGCGGCACGGATCACTCCTGTGTGCCATTTGGTACACGCGAACCGGGCATTTTTATTTCACATGTAAGTCAAACGAAAAGCGGAAAGCGAAACCCGAAAAGCGAATTGCAGCGCGGTGGGGACGTAGTTTCTATAAACTGGGGACAAACTTTTCAAATTAGAGCAATTGACGTGCCACAACTTGCGGTTGCAAATGAACTGCGCAATTAGTTCACAGCGCATGCCGGCATCTTTACAAGCAATTAAATGAACCGCGGGCTCTGCTGAACTCAAAGCACACATATAAAAACACTCACTAGCGAATGGTACCCAGCTTTGGCTCTGGCCGGACGAAGTTTTGCCTCCAATTTGAAACGTGACAGTTCACCCCTCGTTCCTCCAACCGAACGTCACTAATTATATGTGAAAGCTATTCAATAATTTATAATGCAGGGACTTTGTTAAAAATGTAACTTTTGCTCTTTGAACTATGTGTGCCACCTGCTGTGGGGGCTCATACAAAAATACGAAAATGCCTTAAAATCTTGAAATTAGAAGACAGAAAACTAGCTGTAAATTATTGATTCACTGTTAAGACTTTTGAAACCATCAACCTTGATTGTCACTCACTTAGTCAGACAGGATAAACTATTGAGATGCTCGCTATAAATATCTATTCATTCCACTCCTAGATTGTGCCCGGTGGCATTGCCTCGAAATGCGGCAAACTGCGCATGGGCGATCGCATATTGAAGGTAAACGAGGCAGACGTCTCGAAGGCCACACACCAAGATGCTGTTATGGAGCTGCTGAAGCCCGGAGATGAGATCAAACTCACCATACAACATGATCCGCTGCCAGCAGGTTTCCAGGTAAGCCTAAGACGAAAACCCTATAGGCATATTATTATAGAAAATTTTCGTATTCAGTTTGCTTCCACGCTATTTATTAGTTTATGCTGTAAATATATATAACTAGTACTGAATATTATTGTAAAAATCCAAATTTGTAAGCTTCAAGTCAATACGAAAAACCTATTTATACTTCTCTTTTATCTATGCTCTATGATTGCTTATAAAAAAAACATTTACGATGCAAAGCACATAGAAGTAGTTTATATAAACACAGAGGTAAGATATTTCAATGCTCAACCCTCAGCCAACAATTGGAAATGCTAACGATTATTTTTAAACATGCACACACCTGAAAATTAATGTAGATAAGGCCGAGCACACCTCAACTTTTCATTTTTCATCATTTGTAGTTAGATCATATGATAGTTTTGTATATAACGCTTTTAGTTTGATGACATATGAAGGTAATTAGACTAGAGACGCTAATATATATATTTAATCAAAAAAGTTTTATTTCCTAGTCGATTTGATTAGATCTTTGTAGTTATGATGAAACATTCTAAAAAGAAAAATACATCTATCATAAGATATTGCTTTTAGAGTTTAAAATATTTGTATAAATGCGATTAGATTATTATTTGCTAAAATTATACTTAGTTGTTAGAAATGATAGATTTCAATTCCAATAGACGATGATATAGCATTGATAGACTTAAGTTTGTACAGATAAAAGTATGTTTGAAGTCGCCATTAGATGATATGTAAATTTATTCTTATTAAGTTTAGCAAAATGGGATAGGAAAATTAATGAGACACCGATTTGCATAATTTGAGAAAAAGTAGAGAATATAAGTTTGCTGTTCGCTGATGTGAAAAATTTGTAAACTTCGAGTGGCAGGATATTTCATCCTTTTAATGCTCTGCTCCGCCGCTGGAAAAGTTTGCACTGCTTTGCTAAGCGCCATTATCAACTGAATTGTTTTTCCTTAGTCTCTGCTCCTATTTGTAAATGTTGAGCACCCAAACAAAGCCAATGCTAATTTTTATGCCATTGTTTATTTTGCCGTTGTTGAAAATCGCAGGAAATTTTGCTTGCCAAGGCCGAAGGTGAGCGCTTGGGCATGCACATTAAGGGCGGCTTGAATGGACAGCGCGGTAATCCGCTGGATCCGTCCGACGAGGGCGTCTTCGTGTCTAAAATTAACTCAGTGGGAGCAGCACGACGCGATGGAAGGCTTAAGGTAATGACTGGGCTTTCTTTGACAGTTGGGCACAGAAGCGAGAGCTCATTAAATTCAATTGATGGGAACTGAATAAAACTTTATTCTTAACTTATTCTTACCCTCCCCAGGTGGGCATGCGTTTGCTGGAGGTCAATGGTCATTCGCTGCTGGGCGCCTCGCATCAAGATGCAGTCAACGTTTTGCGCAACGCTGGCAATGAAATTAAATTGGTCGTCTGTAAGGGCTACGACAAATCGAGTTTAATGCATTCCATTGGTCAGGCAGGCGGCATGAGCACCGGCTTTAACTCGTCTACATCCTGCAGCGGTGGCAGTCGTCAAGGTGAGTAAAACGCCAACCGAAGCGTCCATCGATAGTAGAATTCACACAAATTTCTCTTTTGTAGGTTCTCGGGCTTCAGAGACGGGCTCGGAGCTTAGTCAAAGTCAGAGCATATCCAGCTTAGATCACGACGATGAGGAGCGTCTGCGACAGGTGAGCCCGAAATTAGCCTTTCCAGTGGCAGCATCCTTTAAACCCTGCTCTCCCTTATAGGATTTCGATGTATTCGCGTCACAGCAGCCAGACATTGCTGCCATGCCAGAGCCCACCAGCCAAACAGGCTTAGCAGCAGCCGCTGCCCTGGTGCATGGGTCGCCATCGCCCATACGTACAACACCAACGCCACCCGCTGGCTCGATGATGAGCGCAGATGTGGGGCAGCCTGATACAGTTGCCGCGCAAACTGTGGCGCTCATTCACGCAGAACAAACCCAGCAGCCGCAGCCGCAGACGCAGGTGGCAACAATTGGCCAGGAGAAGAGCACCCAGGAGAAGGTAAGTGAATGTCCTTGACCTTTAGCTGGCTGGTCAGAGGCCTGTTGGGCCACGCATTTTCAACTTGTCGTGTTTAAACTAAATTAGGTGCTGGAAATTGTGCGCGCTGCGGACGCCTTCACCACTGTACCGCCGAAATCACCATCAGAGCATCATGAGCAGGATAAAATACAAAAGACGACGACTGTTGTTATATCGAAGCACACGCTCGATACAAATCCAACCACACCCACAACGCCCGCACCTCTGACGCTGCTGCCGGCGGAGTCGGCGACCGCTGCCGCGGCCACTGCACCCATTGCTGCTGCACAGAGTCAGAGTCAGCCCCAGCCCCAGCCCCAGCCCCAGACTCAGACACAAACAAATTCAAGCCAGCAGCCAAACCAGCAACAACAACAGGTATGTATTTAACTGCACGTCTTTCGCTAACTTACTTTGACTTGTGTGTCTATCTAAATGTGTGTGTACTTTCTTATACGTCCATATATACTTATGTGTGTGCGTGAGTGTGTTACAATTGTTTAAAATCTTTTCAACATGCGTCTGTCCTTTTGATTTAACTGTGCAACACTTAACACACACCAGCGCTAGTGACTGCTGCGCATTCAACCAACTCGAGCATAAACACCAACAAAATACCCAAAAATTATTCACCCTTACTTATTTATATGTACATATAGATATTTTGTTTCTTTGCTTGTTTGTTCTCTTCCATAACTCTCCTAACGTCTGACCTTTAAGATATACATACATGTCGGTGTGGATGAGTCTGTTATTAACTGTGCCTGTTCCGTGTTTTACATTTAATAATATGTTTACAATTTATGCAACTCGTACCTCAACTTAACTCATTTCATTCGTAATAACACTCGAGCTAATCAAAATTCATAACGCATCGCATTGATAACACACTTTCTGAGCCTCATTGTGATTTGTTTTTCCGTTTCGTATTTGCATTAGATATTCAGCTCGTAGAGAATGTGGGAAAAAAATGTGTCAAATTTGATAATTCAGATTTGTGTATGGAAATATTATTAAAATTGTCTAACGGGATGAATCAGCAGATCTAATGTTTGGATCAACTTTAAAATGTATATATACAAATCTGAATCATATTCTTCATTGTTCATTAATTACTTTGATTTTTACAATGAGAATTTAAAGATATTCTCTCTTCCAAACACTAGAAAAACAAATCTTTGCTTAGAGTTAATTTGGAAAAGAAAACGTTATCAAATTCTGATTCTGAAATGCATATAATCAAACTAAAATAAGACTTGGCGAAGTCAACCATAAGACTCTCTCATGTGTATTCATTATAAATCGTGTTGTATGTCATTTATATTGTTTGCTATATTTTTCATTTAATACGATATTGTACTATTTAATCATACTTATCGATACCTTGGGGAGTAGGAGTGCATAGCGATCAAATGCATGCGAACGGGGCGCTGTGCCACAAGCTCCTATATAGTAGCATATGGTATATCTCTGTCTCTCTCCCGTTTGGGGTCAGGCCAGGGAATTGGGGCTGGGACCACATGGCCCACATTTATTGAAATGGCAGCACACGATTTATTATTTATTAGGATATTCGTAAGAACCTGGTAGTATACCAGCTTACGTTCGTTTTGCTTGCTTCACTGTTATTGTTGTTGCTATTGCGATTGTTGTTGTTGTTGTTGTTGTTCTTTTATTTATGCTACTTACATTTTATATCAATTTCTGTTTGCGCCTTTATTGTTACCTTTTGGATGGCTGCTACTTGGGCATGGGCGGCATTGTTATTTTGTATGACTGTTCTTCCTGTTGACGATGTTGTTGTTGTTGTTGTTATTGTTCTTAGTATTCTTTGTTATTGTTGTTATTATTGCTGGATGCCATTTTACCTTAAATCCAGTAATATTTGAATTCGCATTGGCAGTAGTAGGCAAAGAGAACAGAAATAATATTATGCATAGATGGCACGTATAATAAATGTGTATACAAATACTTATACCTATCTATATATACATATACATATATACTTATATATAGATATATCTATTTCTATATATAAGTAATTCAAAATCTGCTGAAAGGAATTTCCATTAAAATGTTTCTCTTATCTTCTTCTCGTTCTTCCATTTTATTGCTCACAATGACATGCGCGCCGTTCGCTGCTTTTCAACATATTGTTTTTCCGTTTTTATCCATTTCTTTTTATTATATTTTACGTTTTCCTCGCGTTTTTTCTTGCGTTCCGCATTTTCGGTTCGTTCCGCAATTGTCATTTTTCTTGACGATTTGCGTAGATATCATTGCAGCGCATTTCTTAACAATCGGATGTTTCCCACCATAAGACTGAGTATTTAGTTTAAAATACAGGAACTTATAAAGTAGAAAGCCAACAAATGAGAATACAGGCAACAGCATGGCCAATTCGCTCTGACTTAAATGCCATTTAAATTCTAAGCCTTGTCGTGTTCAATGGGCAATGAGTTACTAGTTACGGGCCTGCAAAACGCGCCACAGCACAACTATATCCATACGTGAGACAGAAAGTTCGCTCGATGTTGAATCCTAAGAATACTGAATGCACTCATCAAAGCAAATGGTTTCAAAAGTCCCTCACCGACTAGCTCTCTAACTATATGAATGTCTAAAGGACTCACTGTGAATTGTAAACCTTAGGAAAAAGAAAATTTCGGTTCGCCGAAAATTAAATATTTTTGCAGAGATCAATATGAAATAATTGCAAACTTTAAATTACAAATAAATTGCAGTCAATCTATAATTCTCTACAAATCTTATAAACAATAAATTCTTCAGAAAATCAAAAGTGTAAATAAGTATTATTACGGCATTTACATTAACGTTTCCAATGAAATAAAATAAAATAAAACAAATGCTCTGCAGAGGTATACTACATAAAAGAGGAAACTCCATAAATTCCCTCCTGTTAATTGAATAATGAAAAGGCCTATTTAAAATGCAAATAAACTAATTATTAATAATTCCTGTGCCGCCATTTTGCGGGGTCCACTATTCACATACTGTTAATGTATTGAAATTCACTGTTTAAGGAGTCGTATGTATTTGTATATGACATACTGTCTATTATTGTATATTATTGATATATATGTGTGTGCATACACATATGTGTATCACTGTGCGACAGGCACAAAAAACGGTCCAAATACTCAACCAAATAGTACTAATTGATAAATATCATACGACCCACAATTTTGATGGAAAAAAAAAAGAAATAAAAAACTAAAGCCAAATATACATTATACTATTTGAGTGTTAATCAATTTTCACGTACGTCTAGGATCATACGTATGTATTATGTTACAGCTATTGGAAACCAATTTGTTAATAGTTAATTAACTAAGATATTTGATGTTTTTAGGCATTTCACTATTGATTTGATCTTTTGGTTGTATATTCATTTCCATTCTTTTGTTAGTTATTGTTGGTCTAAATGACACATATGGCTAGATTAATAGAATAATGGAGTGTGCATTTTTGATGTCAATAAATGAAATCTTAATGTTATAATCGTGCCAGCAAATTATTACGGGACTGTCTATCATAAAGAGTGGGAAAGCAATTATGTAGTATGTTGGCTTACAAATGAAATGCAGTTCCATTGAAGGTGGACTGAAAGCGCTTAGACTGATTGCTAGATGCAGCTATCATATTTTGTCCATTTTTGTTTTCATTGTGAGTTCTCTCATTGTTTTCTTTCATTCCTGTTAACTGTCCTTGTCTCTGTTTCGCCTCGCTGTACACTCGGTTTTTTCAGTACGCTGCATCAAGCAATGTGCAGCTCATTCCATCCATCAAGCAAATTGGCCAGAGCTACGCAAATGCACCTCATCATCAGACAGCGACATTGCTAATTGGCTAACAAAATGCTGGCGGGGCCAGTACCTGTGCCTGTACCTGTACCAGTACACGTGTACGTAAGCGTTGGGAAAACATCGTTCTCGTCGCAGCACCAAATATGCATCATCATGCGCACAACCACCATCAACACCCACAACAGTCACACACCAACAGCCACGAAACATACACCCAAACGCACTCAATTAACTTCGCACATTGCAATTTGTGTTCCATGCTTGTGTGTGAAGGAAGCAGTTTCAGCTGCAACCATCCAGCAAAATGAACAAACAAAACTCAAAACTAAATAAAAAACCAAAAAAATCCAAAATCCAATAGCAGCGCGGCACACAGACACCGGAACGACTGGCACCCGGAGCGCGTTACTCATATCAGAAAATGCTGGAGTCTCAAGAGGAGAGCCAACCCCAAGAGCCCACAACGCCTAAAAAAGCCGAGCCGGTGTACATCATCGACGATGACGATGAGGACGATGACGTAGATGCCATTCCCGAGGAAGAGGAGTCCTCGCCGCCCATCGACTTGCAGTCGCCTCCTTCATACGCGGACACCGACTCTGATTGCTTTGAGCGTCCGCGCGGCCGCTACACCAGCGACTCGGAGAGCGATTGTCGACCATATAAGCCGTCCCGCTCGGGACGTAGCACGCCCGAGTATGCTGGAGGGCATCGAAAGTCTGTGAGCTTTGATCTAAGTGGCGACGAGCGCTCCAAGTCGGACTATGAGCGCTCGCGGTCTCGCACACCCGATCGATTCACGCGTGCCTATGACTCGGAGCAGGATACCCGCTCGAAGATCAGCAGTCGCATGCCTCGCAAGGGCATCCTCCGTGCCACTAGTCCCAGTTCCTCGGCCAGTTCCACTCTAGAGCGCCGTCCAGATCCTTTGCCGCCCATTGTGCCGACCGTTGCGCGAATACGCGAGGTTGAGTCTCCGAAGCTGCAGCATGTCTCGCGTGCCACATCTCCCGATCCTCCTGAAGGTGAGCTGGATCGCGAGAATCCCTTCCGCCAGGTGCACCCCAGTGAAGACGATGAGTATACGCAAATTGCCAGGGCAATCAGTATGTCGCCCCGTTCGCCGCGCAATCAGTTCTTCTTTGGTGGCGCGCGCTCCAACGAGGATCTGCTCGAGCAGTCGCCATCCAGTGGACGTAGCACTCCTAGCACGGTCATATCCAAGTCGACAGAGAACTTGACGGGCACACGACCCAAAGTGCCGCCACCCACGCTGCCCAAGCCGCAGCTCAAGAAGGCCGATTTGGTGCGCAACGTGGCCCTGGAGACGTTCCAGGCCACCGATGTGGGTCAGGGTGACTTCGCGGTGTTCGAGCACGATGCCAGCACCAATACCATACATCAGGTGCCCAAGCTGCCCGTGCGCCTAGCCAGCAAGACGCCCCGGCCTCGTGAAAGCCCCCCGCCGCCGCCGGTGAACTTTGCCACAATGCCCAAATCGCCGTTGCCCAGGCTACCGTCGCCCCTGGTGGAGGAATCTGCTTATATGGAGGCTCTGCCGCCGGCACAGCTGCGCCCACATGATTTCGTGCACGAGAACTCGCCGGACAACATATTGGTGACGCCAGAGCAGCATCGCGACTTTCTGTTGCGCGAAAACGAGATGAGAAATCAGCTGCGTGCTCCCTACGAGCCGGCTCCGCCCATACCCATAGCAGGCATCAGCGGTGGTGACAACGGCGGCAACAACAACAACTATGCGGTAAACTATCCATTCCTAGATAGCTCCGATACTGACATTGACAGCCTGCCACTACCTCCACCACCACCACCACCAATACCGACATCAATGCCATCGCCACCAACACCAACCAACGCCGACCCGCCCACAATGTCCGCCCAGCACTCACATCATTTGCATGAGACGCCACTAATCGCTGTCGCTACTAACGCAACATCTTATTTTCCCATTGCCAATGCTAACAACAACTATCTGGATGCCGCGCCGCAGCCGCTGCTTTTGGGGCCCGCGTCACCCACAGAAATCTTTCCCACGGCCCAAATACTGCCTGTGCAATATGCCAGCCTGCCGCAGCCGCAGCAGCCCAATAAGCTTAGACTGGGCGGTGCGGCCTCGCAGCCACAGCCGCAGCAGCAGCAGCAACCGCAGTCTCAGACCGTTTTTAACCTGCTGCTGCTGCCCGGCGATCAGCGCCAGGTGTCAGCTGCCGCCAGTTCCTCGCAATCAGCTGTGCTTTTAGCCAGCTCAGCTGGGCCGCTTTATCTGCATGCGGCCAGCTCAGCCTCGTCGCCAGCTGCGTTACCGGTGAGTGAAACACGTGTTGCTGTCTCATCATCGACCACGGCCGCCGAGCCGTCGGTCAAATCACCCTCCTATGCCACAATGAAATTTCCAACGTTCTCGGAATTTCTGGTCAGCCCCGACTCCAATAGCAATTACCAGAACATGACCACAGCTCGCGTTGATATATCGAATTCGTCGCTGGGCACGAACAGCTCCTTCTCCATTAACTCGTCCAATTCGTCGCTGCGGACGAAAACCACCGCTGCGGTCGGTGCACCCTACAGTAGCTACTATGAGACAGCCGAGGAAATCTATTCGACAATCGAAGAGGAGGCCATTTACAGCAATACTGCGTTCTTTGACTCCCGTCGCAGCAGCGATACCTCCTTAAATTGTCGGGCTTCCAAGTCGCCCACGCCGCCGCCCTTGCCCCCGAAACGTCCGCAAAAACCGAGTAAATTGCGCACAGCACCGCCTCCTCCGGTGGCTCAGAAGCCGCACGGTCTGCGCGGCATGGGTAATTTCAAGATACGCTCACTGTCACAGCCACAGCTGTTAACAACGCCGCCTGCCACGCCCAAAACGCCCTCAACACCGACTGGCAAGGAGACGACCGTGTAGCCGCCTCCTGGCGCGATGTCCACTTGAGTTAGCTACCTCTGCCGCCTGTCGTCTGGCATCTACCGTATGCCTGTTGCCTGTTGCTTTCTGGGTCAAGCTGACGACGCTGCTTAAGTGCTGCCAAGCTAACTACCTAAATTGTGTAACTCAAATCCCCATCACCTGCCGCCCACCCCCACAGTAGTCGCTCTTGCGTTTTAATTAAAACCCAACACCTTTCTAGCCATCCATTAAAAAGGCAACAGCAAATTGAGCAGCAGAGTGCAGACGTTGCAATAGCAATAGCTTCAATATTTATATTTGATTGATTGCCGGCGCCCGTCAAGCAATCGGGAGGAGCCACTGCGGCCACTGCAATCTGACACATACTACAAATCATCGGCAACATGCAACGCATCTGTATTGCTAATTAGATGCGACTTTTTGTTGACTTTGGCAGAAGGTCCCCTGCACCCCACACAAATTGCACCACAGTCGGTCAATGAACAGTGGAAGCTGAATGTGCGCTCCTCACCTGTCCCTGAGGACCACAATCAACATATTTGCCCCCACCTTGCTCGATTCTATCTATTTATCTCTCTTTCGCTGCTCGCTTTGCGTCCAGTTTAATTTGACGTTGATTGAAACAGTTCGTTGCTTAAAGCGCTACAGTTTGCACCTCCCGCCCCACACGACAGCAAGTGGATTCATTTCTCTTCTCCTTTCACAACTTTGCGAGTAGAAAACCAATGAGAATATTGAAGCTAATGCCCAGAGACAGCTACACACACACATACACACAGCAGAGCCAGACAAATCACGAAAAAATACAAATACAAATGCAATTTTTACAATTTTACCATTTATGTAGTTAATTCTTCCATAGAGCTCCTAAGTTGACTTTAATGATAATTTATTTTGACTAACAAAACGATGAAACAAGTTGAATATTTTTTTAAAATTACGTATCTTGAATAAACGATTCTGTTGTAATTCGATATGTGGAAATTATCTTTCATTTTGTGTTGTCCCTGTCGTCAGTTAATATGATATCACAGCCAAGCTTATCGAGAAGATAATTCCCTATGAGTAGCTTAGCTCCCTTCCACTGCTTGCCACATTGGCTAACGAAAACCAACTGCGTCCACAGGCAGGCCACGCCCCAAGCGTGCCGCACTCGTTGGCGCTTGGCGCTCCACTGATTTGTCGTTTCGAGCAATGCGTCGCATTTGGTGGCATCTCTCTGTGCCAACTTGCAATCTTATCTTATCAGTGGACACTGTTAATTGCTGTGAGAGATAAGCGGTATCTGGGTATCGATGATAGCACTAACACAATAACACACTAACGCATATCAAACATTGAGGCATGTAAGCGGAAGAGAGCTGACGCAACAAGGGCTGCGTCTGAATTATTCTATAGCTTATTGGCTTTTAATGCGCTGCCCACAACTGCTCGCTCTGGCTGCACCAGCCACTGGGGCTGTGCTCCCACTAGCCATATTCTCAACACTTTCATGGCTCAATGAGTTTCTATTAGCCCGCCTGTCGTTCAAGCTGGCAAGGAGGAGCATCAAGGCACAAGCTAAAAGAGAGCTGCTGCTCCTGCTGCTGCTGCTGCTCCTGCTGCTGTTGATGCTTCTGCTGATGATTTTCCTCTTACTTCATCCCTTGGCACAAGTATTGAGTTTTAATTGAAAATCGAAAAATTCGATACAAAATTAATTTCTCTCTGCTAAAAATACAGCTCAACTGGATCCTTGATACTAGCCGGCTGGCTGCCTGCTGGCTGATGGCTTTTCTATATATAAAGTAGTGTACTTGACTTGTCTTTATGGGCTTGAGCAGAGGGTGGATTTGTTGGCTGATATCGTTTTTCCATGCACTTGTCGTTAGTTGGTCGCATGGTCGCCTCCTTTATTTATGAGCCTGGCCTTGTGTGTTGGCTATTGTGGGTCTGTTGTTGCATTCGTTACTGTGTGTAACTGTGCTGGTGTGTGTGTGTGTGTGCATGTGTGCGTGCGTATGTGCTATACGAACCATAGGATAAGGTTGCAATTTGTGCAGTTAAACGCTGGCTTTTGCTCTTGCTCTTTCTGCACTGCCGTTTAATGACTTTGTCGTCGTTACAGCAGTCGCCCACACTCACACACACACACATACAAACACACATCATCTCCTGCCCCACTGGCATTGGGCTTCTCAGATTGCCTAAAACGAAGAAATTGCATGAAAGCATAAAACCGACAGTACACGACTTTGGATGATAAATGGCCTGACCCTGTCGTGCCCCTGCCTGCACTCTTCTCTTCTTCGGCCCCCAGCTAACTGCCCCAGCTGTAATTTGTGTCCCCGACCCCGTAAATTATAAGGCTTGGGGCGAAAAACAATGCTTTGATCCTTTACCCAGTCCGCCCCGGGACAACAACACGGTTGGCCACTTTATGATTGAAACGCTGGCTGCTGCTGCTACTATAGCGAGTCCTCTTGCCGCGCTCTCTCTCCCTCTTTGTTGCCTGCTGACGTATCTGGCAAACAAATGCTACTTCATCGCTCCGCGTGCTTTTTAATAAACTTGTGCGGAGCCATCAATTTGGTTTATGGTCGTTTGGGTTTCTTTGACCATCACTTCGGAAACTGCAGTTTTTCCAAAGTCGTAAAAATTATATAGACACGAAACGCGACTGAGCTCAACTGGCGGACACCTTTTTTTTTTTTTTTTTTTTTTTTTTTTAACCTTTATTGATTTTTTTGCTTTGTTATTTTTAAAGTTCAATTTTTGTTTTTTTGTTTATTCCGTTGACTTGCTAACAAAAGACTGCATTTTTCCAGTTATCACCTGCGGCCGAGAATGTGCCAGCCGTGCTCTCACCCACGCCCACAAAAGTGCCTAAATCGGTATCCGACAAAAAACGATTCTTTGAGTCTGCCATGGAGGATCAACACAAGCCCACACAAAAAACAGGTTAGTTCAAACGAATATTTCCCAAAACAGAAAAAAAGAAAATAGACCTAAGATGAAAAACAAAAGTAATTTTCGAAAGAGGTCGACTGAGAGGAAAAGGAGCTTCATAAATTTCCAGAGGCAGTCATTGGCAACTCTCATACGAACAACGAGAGAATCGTATTAGCTTGTTCTAACTCTGTTCTCAGTCATTAGCAACAAAAAATCATTTGATGTACTATTTTTTTTTTTTTTTTTTAAGATTTTTAAGCAAATTCCAGAATTTAGCTATGATGAAAATGAGAGAATTGCTAAGTGGTGAAGCCTAGTATAATCCACTCATCTGAAACCAGAAATCGCGTTAGAGAGATTCACAAGCTTAAAAAAATGAAGCCATTTAATAGTATAAGCGTGCGCTGAGCATGCGGTTGCTTTTCGTACCTCGGTGCTGGCAATCCTTGTCAGGTTTCCGTGCATTGGCTTTAATAATTAGAATATATGGCGAGATGCGAGTTTTGCAGGCATTTACATGACAAAGGAAAAAGCTGCGAGAGGGAGCCGTTCCCAGAATTCGCCGTTTGCAAGGCTTCAGCTCATGCTTTTGATGTGCGCGATTCCTCGCGCGGATTAAAGCAAATGAAGCAGGCGCTGTAGAATATTTTTTCTTAAATGTCTAGATAATGAAAGGAATGCTTGAATTGAAGGATGACATTTAAGTGCGTTTCATTTAATGGGTTTTCTGACCTTACTATAAATTGCAGAGAAAGTTTTTTCATTCCTGTCAAAGGATGAAGTCGAAAAGTTGCGCCAGGAAGAGGAAAAGAAAATTGCAACACTCAGTCGTGATAAGAAATCCAGATTATTAGATGCCGCCAATGACAACATTGACAAGGACGCCGCCCGGCATGCTGATAAGCAATCGGCTAACGCTGACAGCAGCAGCAACAGCAACAGCGATGACAATGATGACGACGATGACGATGGCCACGCTGATGATTATGACAGAGAGAACGCGAGCATTCGCAAGGACGTCGTTGACAACGTTGTCAGGGCGCAGTTCGATGATGCGGAGGACATTAGGTGAGTGCTTGATGGCAAAGTCTTATTGGATTATTGGTGCTTGCGTTCTTTTTGCATTTTATTTTATGTTACATTTCAATGCACAGACACGTCTACAATTGGTCAAACCACAATATATAATTATGATAATGATTCACAAATACACACTCACACATACATATATATATATATATATATACACCGCAACACAGTTTCAAATATAAACATTTAAACACATACTAGTTATATTCTACGGTGTTTGTGCATTTGTTTATTAATAATTTTGCTGCATTTTAAGTTTTAGGTTTCATTGGTAACGTTATCTATCCTCTGCTGCCTTTTGGTTTGGTGCTGGTGCTGGTGAAATGATGCTTTTATTTATGTTGCTCTTAAATTAAATTATCCATAAGCATACTCTACTACACACACACACACACACACTCAGACCCATATACATACAGTTATTTACATTTATACATTAGTAGCTTATCTATTTCACTCCACATGCCAAACACATCCAGCCATTTGATGGAGCTGATCATCATCATCGAAACGTAGTGTGTGCTCTAAGCATCTACTCTAGTTATTTAAGTAATCCCTATGTGTATGTATTTTCATGTTTATGTCTAGAGTACGTACGTATACACAACTTCGCAAAGCAGGGCGGGCATGATGCACCCTAAGCAGTTTAAGTTTTAAGTAGCACTTAAGCGTTGTCTGGACTCATAAATCGCAGCAGCGCCTCTGAGGCGTTTTTCCACTTAAAAACATGTTTGCCCCTTGCCGCATATTTTTGAAGCATACAACGCAGCGAGAACGGGCAACAGTGAGAGGAAAAGCAAGTTATATTTTAATAAATTCGTCGAGTGGCGCATAACTCTGCATTATCTATAAAGAGCTCGAAAGTGCTACGACAACTGCCAGCTATTAAATTTCTCTCTCAGTACCGCGTTCAATTTACGTTTACTCTGCAGAGCATTGCGTATACGCCACGTTCTCTCATGCTCCGCTCCTCAGCTGCTCCACTGGCAGCGTGCACTGAGCAAACAAATTCGATTCCCGCCGGACCAATGGCAGCTGTTTTTACAATTGGTTAACTTCATCATTCAAACAAGCCGCAAATTGCGCTGCGCCTCCCACGCGGACATCCGACGCATCGCAAATGTCAAATGGGCAACTGGCAAAAGGTCGGGGCGTGGGTGCTGCGTACACAAGCCAAATTCCAGCTAGTCATAATGTAACCAACGCGCTGATTTAAGCATCCTAGAAACGTGTAGGCGTAACGTATTCTAAATCCCGCCCACAAGTCTTTACAATGTTCTCTCTTGTCAAAGGTCATGATCTCTTCAAGTTGAACAACTCAGCCTGAAAATGAAAATGTATAATATTCGGTATGTGAGAAAGGTCTTTTTCACGGATTTGGTAATTATATTATATACAAACTTGTTTTGTCTCTCTCTCTCTCCCCTCTCTCTGGTGATTTGCTCGCCAACAGCATCAAGCTGTAAATTTGTATATGTAGAGTACATTTCCGTACATTTGTTTCCGCTAATGCATGCCAAACGATAGCTGGGAGCGACTACTGATGTCATGCTCGTTCTGGCACCCTTCAAGCAGTTGTTATTAAATTTCTTTGCCCTCCACTGTCTGTCCACGTGGCTGACATACCTTTGCATGTCTATTAGGCAACGTACGCTAAATGTAGACTGCCGTAGCCTGTGGCGGGTTCGTTTCAAGTTGTTGACTCCGGCAGCATTATGTAATGAGCAACAACAGTGTAATTTAATACAATTTTATACACACTACGTTGTTGAAAGAAGGGCGCAAAACAAATAGCAATAAACGCCTGAAAAATTCTGTCGCAAAACGCATAAATGTCCAAATACCCTACCAAAATAAATAAGGGCGCAAATTATCAATTGATAAGAGGTAAAGACCTTATATCGAAATGCTGATAATATTGATAATATAATTATATTTGCAATCAAAATCAATGCATTCCCCTCAGCAGAAAGGAGAGAGACGTTAAATAGTTTTGAGAAAATTATTTATTACTAAACAAATAATATATACTTTTTTAGGCCAAAGCGAGTGAATGTCTGAAAATTTTACGTTTGTCTTAAATGCATATAAGTTGTATTAATATAAAATTATATCATGATGATTTGACTAGTACTGTAAAGCAAATATATAATTTCATATCCTTTAAGTCCAAACCATTAAACTGTTTTCTAATATCTTCAATTCAAATTTTTGATTATTTTGACTGCTGTTACAAAGACTTTGAGAGCGTTGCATACTCCCGCCATTGTCAACCGGGTCGTCGTAGCATGCATATGAGCAAATGACAACGCGAGATATCATTTAGTGGCACCCATATCAAGTCGCCAGACATTGGAGCTCCTCAGCCCAGAGGGCAATCAGCTGTCGCTGTGTCTTGCTGTCCCTTGGGACTTAGCGAATTAGATGTACGCAGAGTGGGGTGCAAGCGGTTTGAGGTTGCTATGAAAATATCTCTTATAGACAATAGGAAAACAAAGAGTCTATATGTGCATTTGATTATGTGAGCGTCGGAAAGACATCAGCGGAAAAAAAAAGAAAAATAAAGGCTCCTTTTTTCATTGACAAAACACAAACAAAATGTAAAACATTTCTTATTTTAAATTCTATTGAAAATGCGCGAACTGCTAATAATCATTTTAATTAATTCTCTAAAACAAAAAACAAAAAACAAAAAAAAATCAAAAAACAAAAAAAAAAACAAGTTATCTCTTTGAATCTCGTTTATATTACATGACGGCCTTTGTAGATGATTAGCAAATCAATGACAACCTTGAGACCAAATTTTGCGCAGCATCAGAAACCGAAACCCGAACCCGAGCCGGGCCGAGCTGACTGACCAAATGGCTTACAGCCCAAAATTTACATAAATTTAAATGTATGTTATTATGCTGGCACTGCTCGGCCTTGGAACTCATAACGAAGAAAAGAAGATAAACATGTTAATAACCTATTTAAAAATTTCCCAGCAAGAATTTCTATTAGTCTTGTTTTTTCCATTTTTTTTTTCTTGCGCATAAATTTACATTTCATCGCTGGCATAAAAATAAAAATAAAGAAGACAACGACAAAAATGTTTATAATATATATATGTATATATTGTATGGCCACTAAAGGCAATGCAAATTAGCCGGCAACGCAATGTTCTCAATTCGATTTGTATTTGTATTTATTGTATTCAAATTAAACTCGTTTAAATCTATAAAAATTGTGTAGCACAAAGGCTCGGCCAGATCCGTGTTTATAAATTCTTATCTAGCTTCCGTGGCGACAAATTCGACGTCAACGCCGGCGTCGGCGTCGGCGTGTACGTCAGCGTCGCCGCTGATGGCGGCAAAACGCAATCGAAATATTATTTGTGCATTAATCGGCTAATTTATAGTTTGATAATTTATAAACTATTTCTAGTTGATCTGCTGATGTTGCCGCCGCCGCCACCGACGCCGACGCCAGACACTTAAATGCTTTAGCTAACCGCTTGCCCACGGCTGGCTATTGACTCCCTCACTCTCGCTTTCAATTGGTTTTTGGTGGTTTGGTGGTTTGGCGCAGCGGTTGCCCTTGAATCGATCGCGCCGTCATGACAATTGGTCAGCTTTAGTATTTGTTTTGTTTTCTTTATAGCTTTTTTGTTTTTTTTATTTTATTTTATATTTATATATATATATATATATATATATATATATATATATATATTTATTTACATTTGTGTACATAGGTAGGTTTGTGACTGAGCGCAGCTTCTTGGGCCGCTTTGTGTTTTGTGTTTTTATGCAGATGAAAATATTTATGTTTTGTTGATTACGCATAAATTAATTTATATTTTATGGCGTTGGCGCTACGTTCGGTCCACAAATGGACCGCAGCGCACCGTGGCGCATATGCAAATGAACATTTAGTTGTCTGTGAGTCTGCATTTGTATCTGTGTGTCTTCTGATATAAAAGCATAATTTGACCTTAAGCTAAAATGAGGGCGTTAATGATGCTCTTTAAATCTCTCTGTGTGCGTGTGTGTGCGCGCTAGTGGCTAGCTATTTAATTTGCTCAGCTTCGGCGAATACAATTATTGTTGTTGTTGTTGTTGTTGTTTATTTCTGCTTATTATTTTACTCTGTGGCAGATTTTCGATTGTTTTTTCTTCTCTTCTTTTGTTTTTGTAGTTTGTTTTTTTGTACATTTTGCTTGCTGCTTTTGGCGCATAAATATTAATTAAACTTGGAAAAACCACGATAACATGATGCGATAAAGAATAAGCGCGAGACAACTCGCCAACAGCAACAGCAGAGACAGCAACAACAACAGAGACAGCAACAGCAACACCAACACCAAAGGCAACAAATCCAAAGGCAGCTGAGCATTTCTTTGCTCGCACGATGAACTTTCTGATTTAGTTAAAAATGTATTATTATTTTGTAATTGCTTTTTATATTTGTTTGTCTATCTGCAAGCCCGGTAACAATGCACCTGTTTAATTGTACATCACAACAACTTTCTGTTTCTGCTTCTCACCAACTTTTTTCAGGAATCCACTTGACGAAATTGAAGCAGTATTTAGAAGCTAAAACTTAACTAAGTACACCCAGACACACACACACACATACACAGTCTATCTCTTACATTTATGAGAATGGGACACGTTAATTGACTAAGCTCTGATATCTAACTATATAGATACGTAGCCTATACACTTATATATTTATAAAAACTTTCTATGCAAGAGACTTTGACTAAAATAAGTTACTATCTAAACGAAAATCCAACTAACTCTATCCTAAATAATTATCAACACACTTTGTTATATGCAGAACATTTTTATACACTATTCCTAGACAATGTGAATGACTACGCAAATCAACAGACTCTAATATACTTTATATCGCAGCATCACTTAATAAGCATAGTGTTAATGTTGAGTTTTCTTTCGTTTTGTTTTTACGAACTGTTTACAAGTCATACTATATACATAGTTTTAATCGCTCCAAAATTCTTTCTCATACGAAAACTACAGCGCAGCGTTGCACACTCTGCCAGCACTTGAAATGCTTTTACACTGCTCTACGACACTCACAATCACTCACCTGCAGCGTTTCTAAAGTACACACACACACACAGACATACAGTACACGCCCACTTACTGACTCAGTGACCGCTCTTTGCGCTTGGGGCCACGTTATTAACATATTTTTTGTTTTACTACTACAACTAGACGCATTTTATATTTGATAGAACAAGTGGAGAAAATACGAAAGGAAAATTAATGATTTTTATAGAAGCAGGGGAGGAGGCTAATTATTATGCTCTTTGCGCGTTTAGTTGACTTTGTGCAGACAGAGAAAAGGAGAAGAGAGACAAGTGCCTAGTTAGATATGGTACGGGTAATGCCCGACTTGATTTAGTTATGTTTGCGTATTCAATTATTCAGTGAAAGAAGCATTCGTTTGTTTAAATAACAAAATAAATAAAAAGTGACAAATTCTTTAAAGAGAATGCTGAAAGTTATGAAAGCCTTGTGGAGATAAAGTCCTTAAACTAAAGCCGTGTTAATACTCTGTTTATGTAGCACTCACATTTCCATGCGAAACTCCTTGAAACATGTTCCAGCAAAACGCATGTACGTTAAGTTTATGAAATCGATTACGTTGTTGTTGTCAACGTTAAATTTTTTATATATTTTATAAATATTTATATGAATGTATATGTACAAAAAAAAAAAAAAAAAAACAATCTGCACTCAAGCCATGTATTAAATATACTACACACACACACACGAAATAATATGTATCAATGCATCGTCATCAACATAAACAAGAACCAAACATCAATTACTATTTATGCTCACAACATTGCCAATGAATTTACTGATTAACATGTGTCATATATCTTATAAATGTATGTATGTATGTATGTAATCTTTGTTCCTCCACATCATAATGGAAAAATGTCTACAAATAAATGGAAAATATGATTAATTTAAATCAATTGCAGTTTCTCATCCACTATTTAAGCATATAATAGTCTAACGCACAACAATCATAAATCGGTATTGGGTTATTGTTAATATATTCACTACGTATTTAACTTATGTCAAACTACAATAACAAGTACAATACAAAAACAAAAACAAATAAAATCAAGTGAATTCAAAGCGCATTGTAAAAGTTGTGCGAGCATTGTGCACGCACATAAATCTGTCAATTGCAAAAGTTCAGCTCGCTTAAATACTTTATAGTATGTACATAACGGTCTCGTCGCTTCGCTGGGTCAAAATGGCGACATCTCTAGTGGCGCCCCTGGAGGACCAGCGCAAAGTTCATTTAAAAGTCGAAAGGGCAAATGAATGAATGAATAAAACGAGCCGAGCAAACGGCAGCACGGCAGCCCCCAAATGCGAGCAATAAAAAAAAAAGAAGCGAAAATCAGAAAAAGAAAAGAAAAACGAAAAGAATAGTGCAGCAAGTGCAGCTTGACTGGGTCAAGCCTGGCCGCACTTAGCCTTTAACTGCAGCCACCTTTCTATGCACTTCTCAGCTGCTGCGCTTCTGGCTGCCGACGGCGTCGTGTAAATTGAAATACATAAATCACTCAAGCAGAAGTTGCAGCCTTTGCAGCGCCGATTCAGCTGCAATAATTTCGAATTAAACTTGAACCGAAAGTGTGTAGCAATTTGTTTAAGACAAAAGCCACTTGCAGCAAGCTCTTAGCTAAAAAAAAAAAAAAGGGAAAACGAAAAGGAACCAGGCCACAAAGTTTGTCAGTGGGAGAGGCAGACAGCCAGGATGCATAGGATGTGGGCGAAGGAATGCCGAATAGCACTGCCAGATGAAACCTTATTGCGAATAGTTTTAGTACGCTCACTTTTAAAATTAATTTTGCATGCATATACATATATATGTATGTATGTATATGTATAAAGTGAACTGGCATCACAAGTTTTACGACTGCGCTGGATTGTCTCGGGCTTTGGCTGTGGCTATGCGTCTCTGTTCCTGTTCCTGGCCTGGGCCTGTGATCCGCTTCAGTGCCTTGGTTGTCTGCCTTAACACGCTAATCTCCAGATGCCATGTTATTGCACTTGTTGGCAAAGTTGTTCAAAAAGTGATTTTGTCAGTGATGGGAATTTGGCTTGGGCATGGGTAGAAAGAAGTTCGCAATGTGTTTCTTGGATTTTAATTACAACAAATTTGACTTGTTATGGCAAAGTTTGTTGCATGGAGCCACAGGCACGTACACCCATCCGACTAAAATGAATTAACGTCATTGTTCTTGTAACCGCCCTCTCATATCATGTGCTAACCGCATTACACATTCACAACTTGGTTTACCCAGCCAAATCTTTGGTAATTTTTATATATGTATATCTGTATATTCATATGTGTTTTACTTTGCACAATTGAAACACCCAACGAATTTCAAATCCGCAATAAACAAAATGACAGAACCGCACAAAATCAAGCGCAGGCAACGCACGCGCCCAGCAAAATTCCTAAGCAGCTGAAGCAGCAGCAGCAGCAGCAAATGAAGGCAACGCCCACAGCGACGCCGCCCGGAGATACACCCAAGCCCTCGCTGCTGCCCAAGCCAAAGGTCAAAGTTGTGATGCCACCCGCGTTGCAGCAGCGTCTTTGGCAGCAGCAGCAACAGCAACAATCACCGCCCCAGGAGGAGCCAACCATACACGAAGGGGAGCAGTCTGCCACGCCTGCAAGCTCGAGCAGCCGCATACCCGTACGCACACTGAAGGCAGAACGCCGCGCCCTGGCAGCAGCTGCACGCCAGGCCGGCCTCACCGTGGACGACTACGTCCAACAGTTGGAGCAGGCGGAGCAGCAAGAGCAGCAGCAGGTCGAGCGTGGCGCCGTTCCGACAGAGCCTGCGGTCAAGACGCGAGCCATGATGAAGTAAGTTTGAAGTGTGGTGCCGAATGAGTTCACAAGCGTGTGGGCAGGAGTTGCCGCAAAGGTCACAGGTTCAATTTGTAGCAAATCAACAGCTCGTAGGCGTAGCCATTTAGCTTAAGTATCTATTTCCCACACAGAGTTTGACGGCAAAGACAATGTGCACACACACACCCACACATATACACACACACACAAACATATCGCACACGCACAAGCGAATAGCAACTATTAGTTTCAATGTAATTTTCGAGCCTATATCTGTTTATCTATGCAAATCAATCTTTATTCTAGGGAAACACTATCAACTCTCATCTTACTTTTAGTTTGACTCAACTATCTTTGTTTTCGTAATAGTTCTTAAGGTGTCTGCTTTAGTCACTCGACATCTGTATATACAATAAGTACACACTGGTATATCTATGTAGACAACTATGAGTTCTGTTAGCTAAAAAGAGAAAGACTCTTTGGCCAAAATCTTGCTAATATTGTATTTATTTTTAATTAACGCAGCGCTGAGAAGCGCGCCTCGTGGCGTGCGGCCCGCCTCCGCTCGCTGGAACAGGGCGCCGTTGAGGCGCAGGACGTGATCAAGAATATGCGCAAGATGACCGACGATTTGATTACGCATGAGTCCAGGCTCAATGAGGTAAGTTCTCGGTGTTCAGACTGCATAACATTACTGCTCCATTTTCAAGCGAAACCCCCCAAACAAAATAAAAAGAATTACCATCCCCAAAATTCGAATGAAGCCATTAACTTGCGTGTTTTGCCTGAGGATTTCGGTTGAGCCACTGCTAACCAGCTAAATACAATACAACCCATAGAGCTACATGGATTGCTTTACTAACCACAACAATATACTAAACTTAATCAAAACCCCAAGTTACGATTGATTCTGTTTCACGAGCAAATGTAACTAATGCAGTGTCAGTTCAATCAAAATATTGCTAGAGCATTGAATGGAAAATCCTAAGAAAATGAAAAGAAAAACGCGCAACGAAATCTGATATCAAAATTTCGAATCGCTTTATAATTGGACTCCATTAAATTCATTTCTAAATTCTAACATCTTTTCTCTGAAATGCAGCCGAAAATAGTCTTTCCGAAAATTGCCATTAAATCGAGCGATGGTCCGGTAATCGTGCGCGAACGCGAGAAAATACTCGATGAGAAAATTGTGAGACGCACTGAGGAGGTGCCCTGCCCCATAACGGGGCAACCTCAATTGCGAACCGTCGAGTACATTGAGAAAATCATCGAGACGGAGGTTAGCGAATCCAACTGAAATTGATTGTTGTGTATACATCGTATATTTATATTTAATTGGCACCAATTTGAGTTTCGTGAGCAATGCAAAAGCGTTTTACATTTTATTTGGTTGAAAGCCGCTTCTGTTGTATACTCGTAAGCGTAAACGTAAGCGTAAACGTAAGCGTAAGCGTAAACGTAAGAGTTAACGTTAACGCAAGCATCTCGTCTCGCTCGCGCTCTCGCTTTCGCTCTCACTCTCACTCTCGATTTTGTAGTTGATTCACGTATTTGGCACATCCTAAAAAATATTAAATGCACCGCGCACAGAGCACCCTTCTCCACTTGTATCACTGTACATAGCACACCAAACATTTCATAAAGAGTCCTGAACTGAACGCAACTTAATTATTTTATAGAGCTCATGATTTTTATCGTCTCGTCTCTCGCACAATGCCGACTGCCGGCTGCTGGCTGCTGGCTGCTGGCTGGTGTCCTCTAAAAAGTATCTGCACATCTTGTAAGTGCTATGCCAGCAATGTTTATCAGTTATTCTGGCTGTTGTTTTAGTGCTCTGCGGAGCTCTCCGTTGGCCTCGGTGGCTTTCGTTGTTGACATTGCGTCAGTGTCCCGCCCACCTGAAGCCGTGGGTCTTACCGAAGTGCAGCACATAAAAAGGACAATAAGCTACTTTTGCGAGCTACCTAAGCGAAAAGGTCTTGTGATTCGCTGCGCGAGCGCAACAACAACAACAGAAAATCATTTCCGTGCTTATTGTTGTATTTTAAGTGTCGCGGTTTTTAGAATCCTCCCAGTCTGTCTCACCGCTCCACTTGGGGCCTAACCAAAGACCTTCAAAGAGTTTGACTGGTGTTGTTTTGGGGCTTGTTGTTGTCACGTGTCCATAAAGCAACGACGTCCGCTTTCAGAGCCAGATATTTGCTTGGTTTTATGTATGCAAACGCATTATAATGACGCGCTGCCTTTTATGGCCGAGTCCATTAAAATTAAAGCAAAAGTTTTGTGTCGTTTTGCGGCGGTGGCGTCGTTTTAATGATTCCAATCGAAATAAAACCCCAAAACACAGCGCAAAACATTTTATGGCCCCTACTATTTTTGGCCGCAAATCTGAGTCTTAAAAATTGCTTCCATTGCTTTGCTTTGTGTTCCAATTTCTAAACGGAAGGAAGCGAAACAAACAAGAACGTCAACGGCACACCAGCCGGCTTGCCAGACCCAACATTAGTGATTCGAGACCAAAAACTTTGGCCCCAAGCAATGCAGCCTCCACAACTGACCCCAAATGCGCAAAATGCACTGCGGGCGGCCTGCAGCTGAGCGCTGAGTTGGCTCAGTGCGACGCCTGTCAGCGGCAAGCTGCAGCTTATCGTGTTTCGACAATGGGACCCTTTCACTTTGTCAGCAAGAAAACGCTGGCAATTTTCTCAGCGGTCTTCCTCATAGTCATCAGTTTGCCAGCTGCATCCATGGGATCCACGCTACAGATGTCCTTTGGCTCCATTTTCTCAACTTTCATATTTACGCTTTTAGTACACATTGCATTAATCTATTTTTGCCTTTGGCCCTTCAGGCTAATTTATTATTGTCTGCATTCATATACAATATAATGCTCCATTTCTGAATATACTGCACATTGGATATGTAATTTTTTATAGTTTTTGTTATAATAAAATACTTTGAACAGATTCACACTTCAATTGAGTTCATCTAGATATTATTATAAAATATTTTGATTATAAAAATTATAATTTAAAATTGAAATAATAATTGCGTATAGTAATTGAGATCATTCAGCTTTTATAATATTTTATAATTATAAAAATTTATTATCAATTCAATCTATTTACATAATTTCTCTAAATTCGAATTAACGTTGCGTATAAAATATTTTAAAAGTTTTCGAAAACTTCTTTCATATTTTATTTGAATAATTTTCTATTGTAATCCAGAATCTGCATTTTTTTTTTTTTTGTATTAATTTATATAGAGCTTGTGGATGCCATTTCATGAGATACTGAAACTAGTTTCTGTTAAAGAATTTCACTTAATTCAAAATATATTTTTTATAGCATTTCATAAAGGGGAGACACATCAAATGATAATTTTTCAGAACAAACACTCCTCAGTTCCCGCATGAGCAATGAATGCTAACAGATTATATTTAACTCGCCATTTTAAAATTACTACTGAAATACTTTCTTTCCTCTTTAACTCTCATCACGTTTACTAATGTATTTTCTGTATTTCTGTTACATTAACCTTCATATTAGTCACATAAAAAACCGCTATTCCATTGTAGAGTTGTGAATATAAATGTATTCGAGCTCTTGCTTTGCCTTTGGTTTTGGTTTCGTTGCTTGGTGCTGTTTCTTGTTGCCTTTATTAGTTATTTGTCTGCCAGCAAACCAAATGCACAACATATCGCATTTTGATTCCAATGTATTTAGGTGGAGACGTGCAAGGAGCGCATCATCTCGTTGGAGCTGCAAGTTCCTGAGGGGGATGAGGGCACACTTGATGAGACGCAGCCACCGCTGGAGCTGCAGGCAGCTGATGATTTTGCCGATGATGATCACGAGGACGAAGATGAAGATGATGATGACGACGACGATGATGAAGATGATGATGAAGAGGAGGAGGACACTGCCTCCATTGTTACGGTGCAAGCGAATAACGAGAAACTGTTCCTGCGCCACGATGCGGATAGCTATGGCCCATCGTCCATTGAGAGCGTCTCGTCGGGCAAGGTACGCATTAAAGCAGCACCACTGACAATGCATCAGACACTGGCCAAGGAGACGACCATTGTGGAGGTGCTGAATCCTGTCATTGGAGGCGATGGCAGCGCGCGAACTATACAAGTGAGTGGCGCGCCCTTTGACATAGATGAGCTTGGGGGCGGCGCGACCTCGCTGCTGCGCAGCGAAACTTTTGTGCTGCCCAGTGGCGGCGGCAAGTCGGAGCTGTCATTAAATGCAAAGATGAAGAATGTGCTCGAGGAGCTGCTCGAGAATGAGCGGGTTAAATTGAATTTGCAAAAGAGCCTCGAGGAGGAACGCGACAATGACAATGACAACTATGAGGAGGATGAAGCTGAAAATGTCTATGTAGATGCACGCGATGACGATGAGAGCGCTTATGGTGATGCTATGGATGATGTTGACTTTGCTAGGCCGGCGGCTATGACCAAAGGCCAGAGCGACGCTAAGAATGGCAATCAGCAGGTGCTGGATGCACTGATCAGGGCCAGCAATCGTAGCACCGTAATTGATAAATTGGCCGGCCGATTGGCAGCGAACGACGAGGACGACAATGATGAGGAGGACGACGACGAGGAAGAGGACGAGAGCAGCGACTCCTCGGACGACGATAGCGAGGACTCCGATGAGGAGGACAATGCGGAGCAGCAACTGAACATTGCCTACGTGCAGGGCGCGCAGGTCATCGAGAATCTCAACACTGGAGCTGAGGGCTGCAAGCTGCAAAAGTCACAGACTTACAACACCATCAGGGAGGCCGAGCATGAGGATGACGAGGCGCCGGAGGAAGCAAGTGGAAAGGCTAAATGCAGCAACACCCTGGCCGAACTGCAGGCCGAGCAGCGGGCTCTGGCCGAGATCTCAAAACAGCTGCGCAAATCCGTTGAGGATTTGCTCAGCGCCGATGGCGGCTCGGTGGTGGAAACACAGCGAACCTACACACTCCCAGCCTCCAGCGACAGCACCGCCGTCGTCACCGTCACCGAGGTGGTGAAGAAACAAACGAAAGCCGCACGCCAGTCGGCCGCTGGCGAATCTGGGGAGGCTATATTCAATCGGTTGCTCAGCAGCGGCGAGTCTCAGCGCCAGATCTTCGATGCACAGCAGGGCGAAACCATCACAACCACCACAACGACCACAGAGGCGCTGCCCGCAACGGCAGCGGCCGCTGCTGCTGGTGAGCCGAGCACCAGTGTGGTAACCACAACGCGCACTGTCTCCAACATTGTCACCAGCGGCATACCGAGGCTTGAGGCGAGCAAGCAAACTGGTCGCAACACTAGCAACAACAACAACAACAACAATAACAATAACAACAACAATCGTAGCAAAAACAAGCGCAAAGGCAAGAAGAAATAGGCAATAGTGAACTGCAAATTGCGTATACGACACATGGTCTGTATTGCATTTAACTAGACGCACACGAATATTCTCACGAGCCCTCCACCAGCAGCCCCTCCCTACCCCCCCATAGGCATAGTCACATATCAGCGCATCCAGAAGCATTCAACAATGTACCATTATATATATAGACATATGATGTATGTAGGTTTGACGTACATGTGTGTGTACCATATATTATACATGTGTGTATATAATTTTAATTAACTGTGCAAATAACTTGTCGTTGCATTTAAAAAACACATTTGTAACTAATCATAAAAACGCGCGCAATACTATTTAAAGAAAACACATAGTTTTATAAATGAAAACAATTTCATAATTATTAAATACAGAAACCCAGAAACACCAACAGCTTTTAACAACATTTAATTCAGCAATCACAACAAACGCAAATGAAAATTTATTAAAGCCCGAGTAACTAAATTGGAATGATGGCAGTAAACAAAATTTTATTTAATTGATTTAAATAATTTCACTTTGTTTTGCTTGTAATATTCATTTACATTCCATTTTTTCATATCATGTCAAAAGCCTTTTTCGCAATCGAATTGAATTAAATGTTGCGTTTTTTTTATTTTAGCACAATAAATGAGAAATTAAAATACATAAATTATAAAATAAATACAAAACAAAATCCCCGACGTGAACCGGTCAACTATTACTTTGATGCTCCCTTCGTGTGCAAAACTTTGAACTCCGAGCATTCCGACTGTCCACTTTAAGTTGGGCATATTTATGATAAATTTTAGCTCTAAGCGATACTACACTAAAAGCAAGCAGCAAACAACTTTAAAGCATAATTCTTGAAGTATATATATATATATATATATATATATATATTAATTGCCTTGCACTACTCAGTGGCTGCTTATCTTGCTGTTGTTGATGCTGATGAGCACGGAGCACAGCAAGAGTCAAATAAGTCAGTTTCTCTAAGCTGTAATTGTAAAGATTCAATGCGAGCAAAATTATATGATATCTATCTATATAAAATGTGTTTAGTATGTAAGCAAAACAATATTTTATAAACTGACAAAAGAAAACACGCATTGTTGTAATGTAATAAATAATTCAATTTATTTTTTATTTTTAAACCTATCTTTTAATGTGACGTCCACACACACACACACACAAATATATATACACATTTGGGAAATAATCGAGGGTAGCCCCTGATATGTAAATGTAGCCAACTTCTACAGTTCCATGGCAAGGACGACAATATGTCAGACGAACCTCGTTTATATACAGGCAAATTTCTATTTAGGTATTGCATAAAGGCCCACGCAAAAAGTTGGAGAATTATGTCAAATGGCCGAAAAGTGTGTTGCCATTTGTTACATCCGAGCACAAATACACAGCCATGCTATTTTTATACGGCATAGATTATAGCCTGGCAACGAGAGTTTAGCCTGTGCCATCGGGTTTATTTTTAGTGAGTTGCATGATGGCGGGTAAGCCCGCAACGAGGCTTAATGTGGCATACCATGGTTAAAGCAGCTTATCTACGTGTTGTAAATTTCAGTTATAACTTTTGCCAGCTTTTAATAAACAAGTGATGTAAGCATTAAAAACTATAAATTAAATTGACGGAGAGATTTGGAGCTGAGCCTCATATTCAATTTATTCGAAAAAATCTATAAAATTATGAGCACAATTCCATGAAAATATATGCGATTTTCAAAGCTTGTATATATAAGGTATGTATACTTTTAAACATATAAATTATTATTGTCTTGAGTAAGTATAATCAACTAGAAACGAAATGTCATTTGGGCTTTTTATTTGTATTTGGTTTTTTTTTTTTTTTTTTTTTTCATTTTTAAATTAAAGATGCTACATTTTTGAAATATCTTCCTCGTGTAGTTAAGGAAATTAAAGACAACCATTAAACAGAGTGAATCTATTCATGAAGAATCATGTGATGCTTGGGTAACAGCACGAGGCTGGTGACATCAAGCTTAATGGCATTACGGAAGATGTTTCCATTTTAGAGAATGCGCAACAAAACTTCGTCGGAAACATCGTCTGTTGAGGTTGTCAACTAGATAGACAGTTGGCTGGCAGATGGGCGTTCGTTCGCTCTTAATGTAAAAATCGTTAGAGTTTGTTGGGCGCCCAACATCATCACATCAACATCAAGCAGCATCTAGCAGCAGCATCTAGCCAAGCATGGTTTCAGCGGAAGCTCTCGGCACTGGGAGGCATTGAACGCTTGGGGGCTGGCTAACGTTGCGTATGTGCAACGTGCATAATTCGATTTCAGACCGTATACGAAATGTACATACGTACGTAGGTTGTGCAGAAGATACCTGCGTCAGCATTTTAAATATTTAATGCCAACCAATTGAATTACTGTGCAAAACTAGTCAACTGATGCCTCCAGTGGGTGCTAGTCCCGTTGCTGCTGCTGCTGCTGCTGCTGCTGCTGCTGCTGTTGTTGGTGTTGCTGTTGGCATTGCTATTACTGTTGTTCCTCTTGCTTTTGCTGCTGACGCAAAACCTTGTTGCATGCGCAAGGGCTGGTGTCAAGTGCAATGGTTCTGCTTAGGGCAGGTCCACTGCCTGCCGCGTGCTGAGCAAGACAAATGAATGCAGCAGCATGCCCTTGAGGCCTCGTTGCATTTGCATTTGTTCAACATTTCAAGTGCAGGCGCCACGCAGAGGAAACACTGCGGGAATTCGGCAATGTCGCATCTAATGCCGCTCCAGCTCCTGCGCCACCAAATGTGCTGCGCATTAATCAAAATCTCATTTTTGTGCGACCAGAAGCTGTCGTTATCGTTATGCATGATGCTGTTGCGGCTCAAGTAAAAGCAGTTTGTCACATTTTAATATGCTCCACTGGAGCCAGCAGCCTGCGGCATCGCAGGTCAGCGAGTGCGCTCATTACATGGTCTGTCTGCGTCACGGCTCTAACCAATTGTCGTTGCCTGTCACATATAATGGGATAATGCTTGGCTAAACACAAAATGTACTTACTCACCCACATATACAAACAATCGTACACGTTGTCTGGTGTGTAAGTGTGTGTCTGTGTGTGTGTGTGCAGGTACGGGTGTCAAAAATTTACAACATTTGTTGTTTGAAATTTTTCACATTACGCACATAAATTCAGAAAAGATGCTTCGTGGTGTAACTCCTGCTAGCCAACGAAGCTGGTGAAATATGTCCAGGGTGCACTGCAGACTCACACACACACACACACACACACACGCACGCACGCAGGTGTCCTGTGCTGTTCTAGTCCTTGGGCGAGCTCATCGTGCTGTTTGCCTCCGCCAGTTACTGAGTTATCTGGAAAATATTGGAGCGTGCTGTGCAGCTGATGCGTTTTCATAAATTTTAAATAAGCGCAGCAGCTGCCACAATGCTCCAAGGGTGCGCGACCAGAATCTCTACAGCAGCATCACAAATACCTCTGCCCAGACCAGATGTCTGTGCGCCTGCATAATTTGCACTATTAGCGCGGAGCTTAGCATGGAAGAAACTTGTTAAGTGGTCAGCAGCGATTTGATTTCACAATTAATCAAATCTTTTATCAGCAAACGCAACTGCAGACAACTCGATGCTTTGCAAAAATTCAAATTTCGAGGTGCTCACAAAAAGTAACGAAAAGTAAATAGCAAATTATATATAAACAAATGCGAAAATATGCGGACAATTATTGGAAAGTCAAATATTTTTATTGCAAATGGTGTGTTCTTAGTAATAAAATTTTTGCTTTTATAAATATTTATTCAGAAAAATGTTGACCATTAAAAGTTGTATGAAATGAATGCACAATACCTCATCAAAAGCAAGTAAGTATTGCGCAGTTCAGCGCCACCGACCTCCTGGTATTTCTACTAAATTATATAAAATGTCTGCAATAAATTGGCTATTACATTTACAGTTGAAAAATATAGCGGTGTTCGATGTGCAACGTTATAAGATGATATATAGTGAATCAATAGAGTATAAAAATTCCTTAAACTGTAAAAGACACAGCTGTTGGCAGCGTGGAATGTGTATTATATGTACATATGTATATACAGTAAAGTCTCCATAAATTGTGCCCCGCTAAATGGAAAATAAATTCGTTCTCGATCTTTTTTAAATTTATTTGTAAGTCGGAAAAAAACTGACCCCTTAGCACTTAGAATTATCGGGACTCGAGTTTACTATCTTTCGCGAGTTTTTAATGCTATATACGAATTGAGAGCGATTTGGCATATCCCCAAAGTTGCGTAACTAGTTTTTGGTACATCAATGTGTAGTAATTTATCTAAAGAATTTTGTTGTTATAAATAATTCTTAACAATGCTAGATTTATGTTTTCGATTATTTCAAATTTGTAGATCCATGGCAATAATATAAGATAAACACTATGTCGAGAAAATTTTACCGATTATATTTTCTAGCTTCAATAGCACCGAAACTACTTTCTTAGCACGCACATTGAACCAAAACCAATATACTCTTTTATTTCATAAAAGACTGTTTGTTTTTTACATTAATGTGAACCATGCTGAGCTATATATTCCTAGTCTACTACAAATTTAATGGGTTTTCTATAACTTTATCACATATTATAGATTCTATCTAAAATACGAGATCATGCCAAAATGTCTGATGTCTCTATAAATATGGGATAATGAAGGAGTCGTTTGACGTTGCTGCTTGCACATAAAAATGCCATGTGGGTCCTTTAATTTATATTGCAACTTGCGGCTGAGCTAAAAGTTGATGTTGCTGTTGTTGTTGTTTTCCTTATTTCTTTGTCATGTAGCCTGTTGCTATTTGTTGGTGTTCGCTGACGCTGAAATGCGCATGCGCTGGAATGCCGCAGAAACTGTTGCAGTTGGCAGAACAAAAACATTGCCCCTAAAGAGGCCAGCTTTATCCGTGTGGCTTATCCAAAAGGCAGCTGCTGCCTTTATTAGCTGACTGTGTGAGTGGGCCACATCCCCAGGGCAGTGCTCGTCATCGTCGTTGCCGTCGTCGCTGTCGCTGTCTCATTCCCCCCTCCTAACCTGGAAGCCCACGCAAAGTTTTGTCTTTGCTCTTTACCTTTTTTTTATAACTTTTTCAAAGCCTGGAATGCGTATCTTTTGCTGGTGTTGGGGCCTCTTTTTGTTTCTGCAAGCATCAGACTTCGGCAGCTATACTTTGTTGCCAAGCTCCACCGTCCTGAGTTGGCGTCGCTGCGGCGGCTGCTGATGCTGCTGCTACTGCTGCTACTGCTGTTTCTACTGGTTTGCAATTGCAATTTTCAAGGATAAGGGTAAGCTCGAAACAGATTTATATGGGCGGCCCAGTACGTGCAGAATTTATTAATACTGTTTCAACTATCAGTACGTATTGATGCTCCCTACAATTACTGACCTCCGCCGGAGTGAGCGAGCTCTTAACAATGACGCCCGACTCGGGTTACATAAGGAGGGCTGTCCGTCATATTGAAGTTCGCACATCAACAATGAGCTGGGAGCTCGCGCTGCCGGCGAGCATTTGAATTAGGCGACCTGAAAGGCGAATAGACAATGCCATGCCTCAGTTGTTGTCTTAGCATTGGGGCACGATGCGATGATGCCGCATCGATGAACTGAGATGATGCGTGTAGCAGGTGGTGCCATAGTAAGTGTCTGCGAATCTGAACAACACTCACGTACTCGCATTAACAAACTTGGGTGCTTTAAGTGAAGTCGAAATGCAAAGACCAAAATTGTTAGAAATAGTGCTGGCTGTCATTAGGGCAAGCCGCAGGGCTAAACTTTATCTGTATTTGCGCAGTTGGCTGGCATAGTTAACGAATTCAACCGAGGCCAGAGCCAGCTGCACTAAGTTTGACTTGATTCTGGCTATCGGACATGGACACACGCAAAGAACAAAGTTTCAGCGGCACAAGCAATACACATAATTTACAATGCAATTTAAGATCTCATTAGTTATGCTCTCAATAGACAAAAGGGTGTGAAATATAGTTAAAAGAAATTCAAATTGAAATGAAAAGTAAACACATATTCAGACTGATTTATGTAAGCTTTAAGTATCAATGAAACTGAAATTATGAAAACTTTTTGAGCACGTTAAATTAAAGAAATACAGACACATA